GAGTTAGCTTATAGCTGACTTCGTCTTGCAGGAAGCAATTACGGGTTGTTTTAGAAATTAGCGAACGTGATAATGGCTAGCAATGAGACGGAAAAATCTAGTAAAGAGAAGGAACCTAAAACACCTCCTTCTTCTTCTGCTGCTCCTCCCTCTTCACAGGTTAATGTTTACTCTTCTCTGCTTCCAATATTTTAAGAGGACCCTAATATAGAAAAGGAAAACAAATCCCATGATTTAAGCTATTAGAAGCCACGATTAGAAGTGAGATACTAGAAAGGAAATAGATGTATTCTAGATTTCAGCTATTTGTATCCCTATCAGTGATATGCTATAGTTGGAATATTCTGTGTTTGTAGGAACCTTCATCGGCTGTGAGTGCTGGCATGGCTACTCCAGATTGGTCTGGTTTTCAGGTTAAGACAGAGTCCTCCGTCTATGGATCTGTGGTCTGTTTTCTCGTTGCATTTGATCTTTATGGGTTTCTTTTTGACAGGCATATTCTCCTATGCCGCCGCCTCATGGTTATGTGGCATCAAGTCCCCAACCTCACCCTTATATGTGGGGAGTTCAGGTAAACTGGCTTATGCTTTCTCGCTTTTTATTGTGATGTGTATATCGGTGTTCAGAGTGCTGGAAAGTTTCAACCTACTTATTGACTTATAATGAATTCGTTCAGCTCTTTGGCATCATAGCTTTGATTGATTACTGATTAAGACATCAAATTTTGCAGCATATGATGCCTCCTTATGGAACTCCGCCTCATCCTTATGTTGCAATGTATCCCCCAGGTGGCATGTATGCGCATCCTTCAATGCCTCCGGTACTGCCAACAGTAGATATTCGATTGCAGTGGACATATATTGAAATGGTGGCTGTTAATTATATCTTTAATATGTTCCATTCTGTATCAGGGTTCTTATCCATATAGCCCTTATGCTATGCCTTCTCCAAATGGAATGACTGAAGTTTCTGTGAGTTTGCATCCCATCATATTTCATTCGGTCGTTCTCAAATGGTCTCTGCTACCTTTACTTATTGTAGGATCATAATTGAGAAATGATTTTATGCAGGGCAATACTACAGGCGGCACTGAGGGTGATGCTAAACAATCTGAAGTGAAGGAAAAATTGCCCATCAAAAGATCAAGAGGAAGCTTGGGAAGTTTGAACATGATTACAGGAAAGAACAATGAACCTGGGAAAAACTCGGGAGCATCAGCCAATGGAGCTTACTCCAAAAGGCATGTAACATGCTTGATTTTATCCGGTCTATGTGACGTGGCATGTATGCATGGTTGTTATCTTGGGAATTTGATTATGTTTGGACTAGGACCCCTTTTGGACTTATGCTACTTCATTAGATAATATTCATTCTATTATTGCTCTGAGATTGTCAGAATTGTTTGGTTACAGTGGGGAGAGTGCTTCTGATGGTTCAAGTGAAGGAAGTGATGGAAACTCTCAAAATGTAAGTTTCGGAAAGCTATCATCAGCCTTTTCATTTGACTTGTATCTTTCTTGGTATGCATTCATTCTGGCAACCATGTTGTGATGAGGCACTGTTGCATGGGGAACACCTAGTTAGTCGACTCTGCAAGTCTTTTATTTGAGTATAAAAAATTTGTTTTCTAAGAACCTAGCATGAATCTGAATTTGGATTTTGACCTATTCAGATCTGTCAGTCCCTTGGAATTTCTCATTTGAATTTCATGTGTTGCTAGCACTTGGAATGTGCACACTGGCACACATAACCTTTGCGTTGTATATGTTGCATCATCAAACATTTTTGTTGGATCGTTGAGCTCGAAAAGTCTTAAAGCCATTTCCCTCTTTCTATGGGAGTGAGGAGTTCCTACAGTAATTATGACCGATTCTGATTTGCTTTGCAATTCTTGTAGGACTCGGGATCTGGACTAGACGGAAAGGATGGTTGGTTTACGATCTTGTCTTTTTCCATTACTATCATGTGGCTAATACCGTGAAAGCTGCTTACCAGAGAGTTCTTTTTTGTTTTTCCATTCAGCTGAAGCAGCATCAGAGAATGGTGGTTCTGCCAATGGTCCGCGAAATGGAAGTGCTGGTACACCTATTCTACCGGTGAGCCAGACCGTACCAATCATGCCAATGACAGCTGCAGGTGTTCCCGGCCCACCAACAAATTTAAATATTGGGATGGATTACTGGGGTGCTCCAACTTCAGCTGCTATCCCTGGAATGCATGGGAAAGTATCTACACCAGTTCCTGGAGTTGTTGCTCCAGGGTCGCGAGATGGTGGCCATTCACAACCCTGGTTACAGGTGTGTGCCCACCTTTCTTCCCTAATCCTTAGTAAAATTTGAATCGCTTTTATCCTCAAACTCAGATTTGTTTGTCCTGCAATTAGGACGATAGAGAACTTAAGCGACAGAGACGGAAGCAGTCCAATAGGGAGTCTGCTCGAAGATCCAGGTTGCGTAAACAGGTACTAAACATCCCTCTAGATCACCTCTAGCACGCCCATGTGAGCAAATTATCGACACGGAAGAAGTGTTTGTGATTTAGGCTGAATGTGATGAGCTGGCCCAACGCGCTGAGGTGTTGAACGAAGAAAACACGAATCTCAGAGCAGAAATCAACAAGCTCAAAAGCCAGTGCGAAGAGCTCAGCGCTGAGAACACCTCTCTCAAGGTAAAAAAAGAAAACTAAACTTTCAAAATTAGTTTTAGAGCCAACCAACGAAACAGTAACCAGGTCAGATTCACTTTACATCAGACACAGAAAGTGAAACTATTCGTCTTCTGTATAATTTGTTCTTGCAGGACCAACTTTCATTATTCCCTCCACTTGAAGGCATAAGCATGGACAATGACCACCAAGAACCAGACACCAATCAAACAGGCGCTGCAGAGAGAAAGGTTGATTCCTACAAAGACACAACGTGAGAAGACATAGAGCAAAACCAATTCCTAACACAGGTATAAAAAAATGTAGCAGCAGCAGCAACAACAACACTCGGCGGTTCTTTGCTAACAGATGGTTTGTAGGATTTTAGGCATCAGAGATCAATTGGTTTGGAATAGTTTCTTTAGCTTCTTGAGGGTTGTCGGTCCAGTGTGTATGTGTAAGTTACTACATTAGATATTTGGGAGAATAGTTTCCCTTCTTTTATCGTCTTACTTTGTCTTTGCTCTATTTGCAGAAGCGAATTTGAGGCAATGTGCTTATCTGTATCAAAATTGTTATCCGTTTATTTTATATTTATTAGATTTTCTTATTTATTTTTTCTTCACTTTATGAATGCGATTGAATTCAAGTGTGCAAAGGTTAACAAAATGAATCTACTATGCCTACCATTTCTGTATCCTGAATCCTGATGATGTACTCATGTACGTTAATAAATAATAATCATCTCTTCTTTGTCACTTTTGCGTAGATCCTAAAAGGCTAAAACTTGATTTGCAATAGAAGATGTTTAATGAATGTATTCAAGCTCAGAAGGAAATTCATGATTCTACACTGTCTGGACTCACATTTAGAGTTGCTAATGGGCCAAAATAGAGTTGTGAATGACCCGAGAAGAGAGATGTAAATCCCAACCTTGCGTTCTCAATATTAAAAGGAGAGGGTCGGTGAAATTTTAGGTCCAAACATCTCATGAGATTAAGTCCAGAAGAGGAGGTTTGAGAGGAGTTATCCTAAGAAGTTTATGATCACTAGGTGGAGGACTAAGTTGCACAGGAAAAAATCAGCAAAAGCTCGCTCCGGTGCTAAATCCTGCAATATTCAAAAGGAATTGCAAATATGAATAGCAGTCTTCTGAGGATAATTAGACAACATTGTGGAAGCCTAATGATTGCTGAGGAGTTGAAGAAACTGTAGAGTTAGTTACCTTAAATTCCTTGTTTTCTTTGTTCACTTGAATCCGGAGGCAGACTATACAGAAAAAATAGATTGTTATTTCATAATCCAGACATTCAGAAGCTACTCTTCGTACAACAAACAGATAGTAGGGAGGAAACTTGTGTATGTTAAAAGACACATTAAAGTGCTCACCAGCAAGAACCGCTGTCCCAATACACGAGAGAACTCCTGAGAGAAACGAGTTGAAAGGAAACGATCCAACAAGAGACATGTAAGCAACCTGCTCAATCACAGAAATCAATCACACTAAAACCAAGTAACCAGGTTCTTTAAGAAACACATAGAATTCAATCAAGAAAGTCTGTAGAATTTACATGAGTCAAGAATTAAGCAACAATAGATGTTTTAGTTTCTTGATATAGTCCTTAAAAAGACTGCAATAGCTTGTGTTCTTAAATGTATCAAACATTTCAACAACAAAGTAATGGATGATGATGATGCTATACAAATGAACCCAAAAATTGCAAATCAAGTAGTATATCAAACTTGAGATTGTCTTTCTAGTTGAAATGCGAGTTCATAGATAACGTTTTTGAATCAACATATCATTACATATGAAAATAAAAACTCATAAATCTGAAATCCCCATATACATAAACGAAACAAAAGGCACGGATCTAGAGCCAAAGTTGAAGCAGGAAAGAAGCTTAGAGTACCTACCTGGATCAAAGCTGTGAAGACCGCGAAACAAACATAAAGGTCGATGATCTGCGAAAACGAGAACATTAAGGGGATTCGAAACAAATCGGAAAACAAAATGAGAATGGTGGACCTTGAGATTCGTCGGTGTAGCGAGATAAGCAGAACGAAGAGAATGGAAGAGATCCTGAGCATCCTTACTAGTCGACGATCTCGCCATTTCTTCCAAAACAGCAAACTTTTCTCGTGCTTCTTCTTCTTCACGAGTCTGGTTGCCCTCACTGAAACGACGTTGTTTCAGGATTTGCTGATTAAAACGGCCTGTCATTGTTTGGGCCCAAGCCCTTACCAGTCTGAACTTTCAAACGATGTCGTTTACTAAAAAAGTCGATAAAATATTCAACACAAAAACATATAATCCACCAAAAATGTTTGAAAGTGAAATTGGCCGTGTTTGACCGGGTCAGAATTGATAGGTGACGGTCCAGTTAGATTTGGGCTTTGACGTAAAAGAAAGTGAACACAACGTAATGTAACTTTGTTCTTTTGCCTAAACGATTGGCTTTATGTCCAAGACTAGACAAAACAAAATCCCCACGACCGCCGACTTAGATTATTTCGCCGAACAGAGAATATATATAAATGGCTCCTCTTTTTCCAAACTGTTTCTTCTTCTTCGTCGTCGCCGGTTTAGGGTTTTCGTTGCTCTAGCAGTCTTCTCTCGCCTTTATCTCCCTTTCCAGTTTCTCTTATATTTCTCTTGCCTTACGATCAATCTAAAGATTTCATAAGGTTAGTTTTTTTTTTTCTTGACTATAATTGTCTTTTATTGATTTAATCTATGATTCTGTGGATTGGTGTGTTACTTTTAGTCAAAATTGTTTTGAATTGTGTTATTCTTTAGTGTCAATTGATGGTTAACAAGCAAATTTTATTAGGGTTTTCGCAAAAAAAGCTGAAACAGAGTGCTATAATGCATAATTTTCTACTTGACGTGTTCGAGTTAGGATCTGCTTCTGTTTAGTCTTCAAAAGTCTATACTTTTGAAAATGTGTGAAGCTTTGCTTTTGTCTAAGCTTCTGTTGTTATGATTCACCTAAACATAAGAGAGCTTGTCTTGACAGCGTTGATAGCCTGTTATCTGTTTCTGTCATTGCAGGTTAATGTTTTTTTTTTTTTTTTGGCTTGTCTTACAGAGTTGACATTTGTGAAGATCGAAGAAAGACGGTGACATTTCTTCTCTGATTACTTTTTGTTTCTCCAAGATGAAGACAAATGTATTTCTCAGGTGCTACAGCCGGGTAAGTCTCAATCTTTCCGATGAGTTTACCGGTCTATCTAGTCCGGATTAATGATTGTATCTGCTGGTTTTGCACGTTTTATGGATTTCTTTGTTCGGGCGTGTTTATTACTTCACTGTGTTTGTTATAAGATCTTGCCTGTTGAGTAGTTGTGCCTCTTTTTTTCATCCTTGTGTATGTTAGTTGTCACTTCTTTCCTTTCTTGTAATCTCTCTTATATTATTTGTCCTATGATTTGTAAAGGGATTTTACTGGTATCGACAGTGTTGTTTCAATTGAGCATGATGCTTTGTAAGAAAACTCATGAATAACTGTTCATATAGTTGCTTTCTGATGGTGTTTATAGCAGTGTCTTTTTGTTATGTGGGTTATTGCATGATGATAGTTTTTTTAATTTTATTTTATATACAAGTCACTGCACATTTTTTCATATCTGATGCTCACCTTTCTTCTTGCAGTTTTTTTCGATGCTGTTGGTGAGCTCCCATCCTTAGGACTGCTAGAGAGTTCGGTGTTTTAGTTGACTTTATATTCAAGGTTATAGGTTTAGCGTTGTTAGTAGATAGAAATGGAAGCCAAAATCGTCAAGGTATCGGATAGTAGTTATAAAGATGTACATGGGAAGAAGAGAAAGCATCCCGGGAACTATATTCCATATGGTTCTGGAAGGTCATATGGAAAGCTTCAATGTGTGCTCTCACCGAACAGTTCCACCCAAAAGCTTGAGAAAAAGAGAAATTTGGATGGTGAAAACAAAGCGAATGTTTCTGAGAATCGTGTTGGGAAGTCTCTGGTCAGATACTTCTCCTATTATAAGAAGACAGGAGTGCCAAAGCGTGTAATGTTCCATGAGAATGGTGAATGGATTGATTTGCCTGAGCATATTCTTTGCGACATCAGGAATGATCTGGAAGCAAAGAGAGCTGCAATTGAGTTCAATTGGTGTGGTCGCCCTTTTCTCCTGGATTTCTTGCACATGTATCGACTAGACTTGGAAACAGGTGTAAAAACCCAGCTTGCTTGGATTGATATTGCTGGCAAATGCTTTTTCCCCGAAACTTTTGACAGCCTCGAAAGGGACTGCTGCCATCATATCTGTGGGGAAGATCCAGAACAACATGATCAACGTGAGATCAAGCTGCACATTGAAATTGATGTAAATGGTGGGGAGTTACCGAGGCTGAATTTGAATGTGGTCAGTGACAAGTCTGGTGACAATATGGATGATATTCAAGCTGTTCAGAGATCCTCAAATGGGCAAAATGACGAGGCATCAGAGGATAGCTGCAGCCGTGAGCTTGATGATGCTGTTAAGAAATGGGACAAAACAGAAATTGATCAGTTCTCTGGTGTCAAGCCTGCTGAGGAAGAGCTTGATAAAAATGCTGTCAAACAAATGTTTGCTTTGGGTACTGCCACTCTAGGGCATGTAGAGTTGCTTGATGTGTATCAGTTTTCAAGCGAGACTTCCAAAGCTCGTCTATCTCTTTTCCAGAAGCAAGCTGACATCACTAAGAAACGCCGAGGAGATGCGAACATTAGATATGCATGGGTTCCTGCGAAGAAGGAAGTGTTATCTGCCGTTATGATGCATGGACTTGGAGTGGGTGGAGCATTCGTTAAAAAGTCTATGTATGGTGTTGGGGTTCACTTAAATGCTGCAAACTGCTCTCATTTCAGGTTTTTATTCTCCCTCTATGCCAGTTGCCGTCTCATTTAACCTGCCATGTACTATTTTTTTTTCCACGTTTAGTTCATTTGTTTTATGGTTCTCTCTAAGCACATGGTGAAAGATATTGTTTACAGTGCTAGATACTGTGATATTGACGATAATGGTGTGCGGCACATGGTTTTATGCCGTGTAATAATGGGGAATATGGAGCCTCTTCGTGGTGATAACACGCAGTTCTTTAGTGGTGGAGAGGAGTATGATAATGGAGTTGATGATGTTGAGAGTCCAAAGCATTATCTTATCTGGAACATGAATATGAACACTCACATTTACCCAGAATTTGTAGTTAGCTTCAAGCTGTCTATCCCCAATGCTGAAGGTGATTACAATTTGTTCTTTCTCCTGTAATTTCCATAAAAATCAACTGATGACGCATTGAATGGGAGACAGCATATAGATCTTGCTGAAGATCAGCTATTTGGATACCGAAATCTTCCTCTATAAGTTAGATAAGGATCCACATGTGTCACCTTGTGACCTCTGGGGGTGGTAAACATACTTCATCATCCCAAGGGTCCAGTGAGATATTCATGGCTAATATATATGGGTATTTGTATTTCGATCATCACATTTGTTTTCTGCAGTATTTGAAACTGGATGACATGTAATATTTGTGCAGTGAATACTCTTCCTACTACTCAGAGTAAGCACGAGACTTTGGAGCTCACCTTGGAAGGACCCAAAGGTTCTCCCTCAAATGTAAGTTTAATTGTACCTGAGGAGGTTCTCATCTTCAAGCAGTCATTGTGTAATATTTGATTGGGACACAAACCAGTAATGTGGCTTGTTTGTATGAAGCAGGATCCAGGAAGAGTATCAAATGGAGGAGGTTCAGGGAGCCAAAAGACTAGTGGCAGCTCCAGCAGTAGACGGCCCAGATCTCCTATGATGCCTTTCCCTTTGCTGTTCAAAGCAATCTCAACCAAAATTGCCCGGAAAGACATGGATTTGATTTCTGCTGGTTACCAGGAACTCAGGGTAAAGTTATAAACTATTTCATTTACCCAGATTGTCAAGATTATATCATATTGTTTAACTTAATCTATGTGCTGTTGCAGGAGGAGAAGGTGTCGAGAAAGGAATTTTACAAGACGCTGAGGGTGATTGTAGGAGATGATGATCTGCTGAAATCCACCATAACAAGCCTTCAAAGGAGTTTGGGTTAGAGTAATGTGTCGACTTCTCTTTGCTGTCGTGAAACCTTAATAATTTAGATTACGACAAACCTGACTTGATCTTTAGGAACTTAGTAGTATTGTTATATTTACTCTTGGTGAAACTAGTCTTCATTGTCCTGTTTTTCCTTATTTGGAATCAAAGAGTCTTTTATTCATCAACATCATTTGGAATCGAAGAGTCTTTTATTCATCAACATCAGGCTGGTAGTTATAACTCAAATCATCCAATATATAACTTCTTTTACAGTTAAATACCAACAGCGATGACAATAATAACAAAATTCTTGAGAGCATCGTTTCTAGGAGAGAGCAAAAAGCATGTCTTGAAACTGTTTATGTGAATTGTGGATGAGCTCCGGTGTCAGACGACGGATCCCATCCCGGCGGTTTGATATTGGGCCAATCGCCACGGCATCCCAAGCGTATGTACAAACTCTTCTTACCTTCGATATCATAAAAGACACATTTAATCCCAAAACGTTTATCAGATTATTAAACCATCAATTTACAAATGAGTTTCTTCTATTTATTACCTGGAAGTCCCTTGTCTGAGATGATCAGTTGCTTAAGTGCACTCAATGAAGCCTGAGCCACGCTCTTAGCATGTGTCGGGTCCCAACCTTGGAGCTTCACCACCACGTCTGCGTTTGAATACCCAATCTCCCTCTCTTGCTTGTTTCTCCTCGCTTCTTCTTTAGCTGATTCTTCATCTGCATTCAGTTTAATCTTGGATGTTTAAGCAATGATTCTTGTTTATGTTCACAAGGTTCACTTTTAAATGGATGTCGAGAGAATTGACCTGTGGCTTCAGTCTGTGATACCCAAACAGTAAACCCGGAGTAGAGATGTCTCCACTGATCGGCTCTCCCCGCAGCTCCATGTTTACCTCCCAAAGTTGAGACAACAGTACGCACATGGCTGCAAAGCAATGGAGATTGGTGGCCAAACTTGACTGGCAACTGAAAAGAGATTGAACACTAGACATGACTTTATTTTACCTGCTCAAGCTTTCCAACACCGAACTCTCTGCTTCAGCTACAGAATCTGGCCCTTCTGCAACAATCCCTATAATGGAGAAAGACAAAGGGTCTTGAGAAGTGAGGAAGAAATTTTGTTAGATGATGATCATGATCCAAAAGCAGACTCACAAGAATCGATTGTTTGCTTGGAAAAGCTTTCCAACAATTCCTTTGAGTCTAGAGGACTGTACCTGCAGATCATTATCAACTGTATAAGACTCTGAAAAGTTTTCATAATACTATTCATACTGAACTCTCCAACGAAATGTGGGAACCGAATTCACTGGCTGAGAGGAATCTAAAATCATACCCAAGGCCAACCGCTAGCTCCCGAGACACTTTTTGGTTAATTTCGGTTGAATCTCCCACAATGTAGATTGATGCCCCCTTAAGAAGTTGCATCATTCCTGCAGTCAAAGATTCCCAGGACTCAACAATATCAGGCCACTTCAATTCTCCATCCACCTTTTTCATGTTTACAACCAATTGATCTTCGTCTATGTACCTGCTCTGGATCAAAACAAAACCTTCAGCCCTCAAGGAAACGTCACAGTACAAAAAGCTAGACATATAAGTAAAACTCAATGCAAAGATTTACGTGGCTAACCATATTGTTTCAGAGGGCATAATCTTCTCAAAGAGTTGGTTAGTCTCTAGAAGTGTAATCAGCAATCCGTTCCGCTTTTCTTTAACGGCTAACGATGTTCCATCTGCATCTACAGATATATCCTTTGGAGAAAGTGTCTCACCTGTCTTCAACCTCAATCTTAATTCCACCTCTTTGCCACCATCCGTGAACTGCATCAGATACTCTCATAATAAGCTCTACAGAAATGTACAACATTAACATGATCCAGGTATATTGACCTTGAAGCCACCGATTTCTACGCATTGTTATTATAGTATTCTCCATTTTTTTACCAGATTGATTCAGACACCATTTGAAATGTGGATTCCAAACAAACCAAGATAGACAAAAAATCATCACCTCGTAATCGATAGTGCTAGTGGATACGGCGGATAAGCAGTTACAAGAGAAGCTTTTGAACCGATCGGTGGTAACATTCTGAGAGAATCGCCGAAAGCCGCGGCGTCGGAGGCTATGTAATCCCCTGAAAACGCGAGGTGAGGAACGAATCCGAATCGGAGAAAAAAGAGTTGCTTGACAGGTGAGAGGGTTTAGGGAAGGAGAGTAGAAGATTGTAGAAGCCAAACCAGAAGCAGTAGAAGAAGCAAAAGCAGCCATGGATGATGATTTCAAACTCTCCTCAAACAAAAGTATTACGCGGATAAGGGAAAGGGACGAATACCGATCGTTATAATGGGCCTGGGTCAGAAATATTGCCTTCAGTTTTAGGCCCATATGTTATGTAAGCTTTTTGTAAGCCCATAACATATGCCGCATGTTTGTTATTTTTGGGAGGGGTCATCTAAATTTCGTGTGATTTGTAAGACTTAAGTAATCTTGTTTTCCAAAAATCTTCTCACACAGAGATCTGCCATGGTTACGCTCTTCACCACCTCTCGTGCTTCCCTCCTCTTCGCTTCCTCCCTCAACCCAAGCAAGACCTTCTCTCCTTCTATCTCCCTTAAACCTAATTCTCTCTCTTTCTCTTTTGGTCTTCGTCCTAGACCACTCCGGTTTTCTAAAATCCGATCTTCTCTGCCTTCGGATTCCGAATCCGATTCCGACCTAGATGCGTCTAATGTTACAGATGAATGGGGTGAGAAACAAGGAAATGCAAGTGAGCCCCAATCTCAGCCGGATATTTCTCTGGTGAATGTGACTACGGACGAATGGGGAGAGAAATCTGGACCCGAACCTGAGGAATCCGGGTCCCGGTTTGCGGAATCGGATCCTCCAAGGAACGAGGATGAGTGGGAGGAAGAAATCGGAAAAGAAGTTGAAATCGACGCCGGAAATGGAAGTGCGGTTTCGGACAAGACTTGGGAGCTGAAAAGGTGTTTGGCGGATACGGTGTACGGTACTGAATTAGGGTTCCGGGCTGGCTCAGATGTTCGGGCGGAGGTTTTAGAGCTCGTGAATCAATTGGAAGCTCTGAATCCTACTCCGGCTCCGATAGAGAATCCGGAGCTTCTCGACGGCAACTGGGTTTTGCTGTAAGTTCCCAATTATTTTGTTTCCATGTTGTAGAAACCTTAAATTGCAATACTGTGAGATAGTTTCTGGGCCTCGTAATTGAGAATGAGACATTGTGAATCTTTGATGAAGCTAAGTGATGAGAATGATCCGGGAGTTGTCACTATACTGTTGCTCCAATTTTGTGTCTGTTCTTTGGTAATGAAACAGGTACACTGCTTTCTCTGAGTTGGTTCCTCTACTAGCTGCGGGTTCGACACCTTTATTGAAAGTGAAAAGCATCAGTCAGTCAATAGACACAAAGAATCTCACTATAGACAACTCCACTACACTCTCCAGCCCATTTGCAGACTTCTCATTCAGTGCTTCTGCTTCATTCGAAGTTCGAAGCCCTTCGAGAATTGAGGTAACTAAACTTACAAACACCGGTTTCGTATTATTAACCTTGGGTATGAAGATCACTGAAGCATTAAGATTTTTTTCGGTAGATTATATTCCTTTAGGTAATTCAACCACTCAATCAAAACTTACCCACAAAACAAAACTTTGTATAAAAGGGTTTCTTTGTAGAATAGTCAATAGTTAGGTTTGGTATCATTATCTGTTTCTCGTACGTAATGTTTTGTAAATGTCAGGTTTCTTTCAAAGAAGGTACGCTAAAACCTCCGGAGATCAAATCAAGTGTTGATCTCCCTGAGAGTGTGGGTGTCTTTGGGCAGCAGATTAGCCTTGCGTTACTGAAGCAATCTTTGAACCCTTTACAAGATGTGGCAGCAAACATTTCACGGGGACTCTCAGGTCAGCCACCTCTCAAGCTTCCATTTCCAGGAAACCGAGGCAGCTCGTGGCTCTTGACCACTTATCTCGACAAGGATCTCAGGATTTCAAGGGGAGACGGTGGACTTTTCGTGCTTGCCAGAGAAGGAAGCTCTCTGCTTGAGCTGTAAAACATTTGACAAGGTATATATAGCAGGCTTTGTGTAAAAAACATAATCCCGACACTAGAGACATCATCATAATTTTGTGAATGCAAACTATTGGCCTAGATCTTAAATTTTAGTATGTACTCATTTATTCGTCACAAAAAGTAGATAAGTTCAGGTTTGGACAACGGTAGAAACTAAAAAGGATGATCTTCCAAAATTGGAGGATCGATATGAGACAACAAGTCTTTAGGCCAGTTGGATCCAATCGAGTGTGACCAACCATAGATTGAAAAACCCCGAAACTAGACCTGATTTTTTGTTAATTACTAGAACCCAGAATTTCTCACAGGACATTTTCTAGTTGTGATTTTGAAGTACAGATAGACGTGTTAGTCAAGTAAGTAATATTAGTAACACGTTTTAGTTCTCCAGGAGATTTCCGATCAGTCAGACCGATTATTAAAAAAACTCGTATAAGTGAAAAAGTTAAAGAAGTGTTTCCTTCCGAGTATGCTGTAATATAAGAAACAGATGGGCCTTTGATGAATATTGGCGGCTTCATCTCTTTTGCACCATCCACTGCAAAATGTCCTTCCTGATGACACCGTCGAACCCACCTCTAGCATAAATCGGTTTAATCAGACTGGATTCACCAGCAGTGTAAGGCCTATACTGAGTGGTAGTCCCGATGGGTCTTGGTGGCTTGATCATCATCATCGAGGCAGTGGGGAATTTGGACCGAAAGTTCCTCAAGGACAAGAACAAGTGCCTATCGACCTCACGGTTCTGAGGAGTCTGCGTGTTAACATGCGGTTTGAGTCGGGTTGATTCTAAAACCCTTGTTGCCTTGACTATGTTTGCCTCTGTATGTTTTGGTAGTAGAACCTGAGCCGATGGCTTCATCCGGTCAAGCCCCCGGAGAATCCAGTTTCCTAGATTCCGACCAATTTCCATGTCTCTCTGTTGTATGTTCTTGTGGACCCTAAGTGCCATATCAAAAATTTGATGAGTCCTCCTGCATAAAAGGAAGGCCAGAGAGAGAAAGTTAACACAACAAATTTATCATTCGAGAATGGAAATCTCATATACACAACTCAAGGCTGGTTTAACAGTATCATTATCTATTGGCCGTATGACCTTAGCATAAAAAAAATCCTTTCCCAGCAACAAACACACTTACAAATATAGGACTTTAATCCAGAAGACATATCTATCTCTATGAATAAAATGCATCAAAGTTTGGTGTCACTCTATTCTTGAATCTCACAAGGAATGGTTTGAGCAATGTCCAAAATTACGAGGTCCCATAACCGTAACTAAATGGTTTTCTTGGAAAGATAAGCTAGTTTAACAAATCCATATCATCTACATAATAAGACTAAGCTCTCTCTTGATTCTACTTTCTAAGTCTCAACTCTCGCATTGCAAAGGGACTACAACAAATCAAATATCACGACACAAAATATCCAAATTAAAAAGGAACAGAAGCACCAGATGTTTCATAACAACTAGAGATGAGACCTTTACCATACGGAATCAGAACAAAACATAAATAAATAAATCAGCATTTTCATCTATTGAAGAGCCCAATTCTAATCTAAAGAAGCGTAATGCCACATCATTTGCCTCTAATGGGATTGTAGCTCAAACACACTATCAAACTACATCCGAGACAACCAAATCGCGAAATCACCAAAAAAAACAATACGAGAAGTCGAAGAAACTTCACCGATGCATAAAATTTCGGATCCTAGGATGCTTAGCACTGACAATCCGACGCTGGGTCTTCAATGCGAGCCGGTAAGTCCGCCTAAGCCCCAAGAAGTAGGCTGTTCCTAGAGCTAACTCCCACAACACCATTTCTTTCTACAACTTTCTTCTTCTTCTTTCTCCTCTTTGTTACCTTCCTCTTCCTCTTCCTTCGAGAGCCGCCAGAAATTTCAATCTCATTCTCGTCGGAATTACAGATCTCCGTTTCTATTTTGTAGTACCGGGTTGGTTGATCTGCGATGCAATCGTGACCGTCCATTTAACTTGTTCGTCAAGAATCAGGATTATTAGTTTTGAGCTTTAATGGGCTGGGCTTTCGTAGCCCCGAAAAATGCCCATGTAGTGTATAACACAACAATGGCGATGGAGTTTCGATAACATTAGTTTAATACTAGTTTTTTGTTTACCAATCATAAATTTGGGTACGCCATGGCCCATGGAGTGGATAAAAGAAATCATAGATTCTTGTTTTTTATAGGTGTTCAAAAAAAAAAGATTGTTGTTTTATCTTGGGTCAACAATAATTATTTTTTCATTGAAATAAACAAAAAAAAAAAAAAGAATTTCTCAAAAAAACACTCCTGTATAAAATAAAATTGAACGATATTCAGCAAACAGATTAATGGGAAATATTACAAAGTAGCCAAAAAAAACACATGAATCAAGGAAGTAACCATGCGTCAGAAACTTTTGATAACTAACTCTTTTTCTTGTGGGGTAGGGGTAGGATAAATACAAAATTATCCTTGTTATAGTAATTACAAGAACTTTGTCGCTGGACATAAAAAAAGAAGACAGTTTCGTGATATTTTTGAAAATAGCATGTAACATTTAAATTTCGCATGTTATATTTAACTAAAAGACATGATATTTTAAAAAACATAGTGAATTTTTAAGAAAAAACATTGTTACGAAGTGTTATTTTAAGAAAAAACATTGACATGGAAAATTTAATCTGAATAGTAACTTTTTAAAAAGAAATCACATGTAATCTTAAAAACAATCGTGTATTACTAAAAAATAATCATCTTTTTAAAAAAGAAATCACATGTGATTTTAATAAAACACGCGTTTTATTACAAAATAACATGATAAAGACAGATATTCACATGTGATCTTAATAAAACACGTGTATTATTACAAAATAACATGATAAAGATACATATTACATTGAATATAATGTTTTTTTCGATAAATACTATGTGTTCTTTATAAATAACATGTAGTACGAGAAAAATACATGATAAAAATAGATATATTATGTTATCACATGTAATTCGAAAAAAAAGCGTGTTACAAAGGACATATACGTAATTACACAGCCATTCCGACATATTACAGACATGATACTGTAGCTCATGGTTAGTTTGTGAATTCTTTTTGAATTCAAGGTTAGTTTCTATAAATTCTCCAGATTAATCCGAATCCAATCCGTTGGTATTACTTACCGTTATCCTAAACTCAACTGGCCCAAGCTTCTTAATTTATTTATTCTTTTGTTTTTAACGGATTTAATATTTTTATATTTCTTTAAATGTAAAACTAGTAAATATTTAGATTCCAAAGTAAATGAGTAGCGGATACGACAACTCTCGTCATTAGAAAGAGATATTATAATGGGAAAATGTTTATCAGCTACACGAACGAGACGTCATCACATCGTCACACATGCAGACTTTAAAAATGTTTCGTTAGCTACACGAATTATTGTTATCACATACGGACATCCCCGAATTAACATAAGTCATGTTGCAAACACCATAACCATCTAATTCCAGTGTACCGGTTGCCGGAATCCGGCGTTGACCACGTTGACCGACGTTGACCGGCGTTGACCAAAAATATTTTTTAAAAAATATTATTTTTTCTTTTTATTTATTTTTGATTTAAAAAAAAAGAAATTTGAAAAAAAAATAAATTATTAAGTAATTTTACTTAAAAATATAACAAAATATAGCAAAAATAAATATACCATTAAAAAATTATACAACAAAATTTTTCTATATATTTTTCTAATATAACTAAATATACCGAAAAATAGACCATAATTTTTTTCTTGTGCTATATTTTGTAATATAATTTGTGTAATATGAATTTATAAATTTTTTGTAATATAACTAAATATACAAAAAAAATAGACCATAATTTTTTTTTTGTGCTATATTTTTTTCATGTGCTATATTTTGTTACAAAATATACCTTTTCCTTTTGGCAATCATTTTCTTATAAATTCAAATGTTGGTTTTATTTTTAAAAACAAAATATATCTTTTTCTTTTGAAAAAATATATGACCTTTGATATATATATATATATAATATGTAATTGAAAGTATGTACCAAATTCACATATATATATATATATATATATTTGTAAACATCACAAATCAAAGCATATATTATGGTATTTATAAATTAAAGAGAAATAATAGAAAAAATGAATTTATATACTTTTATTTTGTTAATATAGCAAAATATACATTTTCCTTTTGGCAATCATTTTTTTACCACAAAAAAATATTTTTTTCTTTTCGGTTGTTTGAATATTATTTTGTGGTAAAAAAAAAAAAAAAAAATTGAAAATATTTTTTGGTCAATGCCGGTCAACGTCGGTCAACGTGGTCAACGCCAGATTCCGGCAACTAGTACACTGGAATTAGATGGTTATGGTGTTTGCAACATGACTTATGTTAGTTCGGGAATGTGCGTATGTGATAACATTAGTTCGTGTAGCTAACGAGACATTTTTAAAGTCTGCATGTGTGACGATGTGATGACGTCTCGTTCGTGTAGCTGATAAACATTTTTCCTATTATAATCTCTCACAATAATTATTTCTTAATTTAATAGATACTCATGTGCATATTTACTTTTTAGTTGTTGTTGTGGATACTCACCAATATTTATTTGTTACGAACCATACCTTCAATAACCTTTCTCTCTCTACCCCCTTCCTTTCTCTCTCTGTCGGCGATGCAGAGGCTATCGCTAGACTCATCAGCTTCGAAGCTCTATAGCTATGGAGGACGAAAGGACGATACCTACGATATAGATGACTTGAAACCAGCCTCCTCTTCTCCTTCTTCGTCGTCGTCCGCGGCAGATTACGACGATCACGAGCTCAAGGACTATAAGCCGCGACGGTTTTCATCGCTGCAATCGCCTTTCGCGACGACGAATAAGAAGCAAGAGAAGCTTGTTCACTTCATTCCGATTCTCACTCTCATCTGCTTTATCATCCTCTACCTCACTTCTCACGTTCCGTCGCAATCAGGTTCGTTCTCCGATCGAAATCCGACGTCGATCCACTGGTTTGATTAATCTTCTCGTGTTTATTGATTTTGATCGGTCATTCGATTTCGAATTTTCTCAGATTTGGCTCAGTTTAACGGATTCATGCGTCCTTCAAAACATCTAGGTACATTGCAGATTCGATTCAATCTCTCATACTTGATTCAATATCATTTCAGGTAGTGGTGTAGTACACATTTAACTGAAATTTCTGATTGATTGATTGTTTTTTTTTAATCTCCATTAGAATCCGATGAAAATGGCGAAATATCTGGATTTATCAGAGCCGATACTCTAGCCATTCGTAGTAGCGTAAGGAACCTGCAAGAGACGGAAAGCTTTGCCGCGAAATCACTTCCCCGTCGCAGGACCTCTCACCGGAAAACCGCCGATTTCTAGCTATCTCGATCTAAATTTATCTTCCTCGCATTGCATGTTGATTTGTTCGTTCGAATTAAAATATTGCGAATCGCGTTTCTGTTATAACTAACTAAATGGATAGAAAGATAAAATCGAATGTAAGCCTCGCCGCCGATGGAATTAACCGTCATGCTAGAGTGCGCTGTTAAATTAGGCGTGGGTTTACAGTTGACTGAAGTAGAGTAGGCTAGAGTACGCCTAAGGAGTAGTTATGCAATCCAGCTGGAATTTTGGACCGTTACAGAGCCTCGTGCTTTGGATTGAGACTCCAGCTGGAAAGAATCGTCGTCGTTCCTCTAGGCAATTACGCATCATTACTAGGAGTCAGTGAACTCAAAAAATTATTACTACTAGTGCTCGGAGTTAGAGTGACCAATCTCCTTTACTCAATAATCATTTTTAAATATTCTTCTTACATTATGTCACTATCTATGAATCAAATTATATATATATAGATCAGCCACATGTCTTATTTAGTACCCAAAAAAAAAAAAAGAGTACTTTATTTCAGATATTTACCTTATTTTGTTTGATAAAATTCTATATGTATATCAGATGATTCTCTGCAATGAGTAAAATCTAAACAAAATGGGATTTATTAATAAGGAAAATAATATTATTAATCCTACTGAACTAAGAAGAAAGAAATGTTACTTTATACAGAATTTTAGATATTTATATTCTAAGACATATATTTATTTATCTAACTGGTTGAACCGAAATTTCTCCAAACCAGACTGATGTTCTTAAAATCATACATTACTGTTAAGTCTTAACCAAGTACTATTAAACATGGTAAAAGAAACAGTGGTGATTATGATTGAAAACTAATAAACTATCGTTTTCGGTTTCAGTAAATATCCAAATATATCAAAATACATTGCTGAACTAAAATCCAAATAAGCTGAAGGAGTCAAATCTAAAACGTAATATGGCAAGTGTTAATGCGTCCGGTTAGACATATCAACGTGTTAATTAGGGTCCACTATGATTATTTGATCAGGAAAAACAGAAAAAGGCATTTGGTGAGAGAAGTGATGCCACGCGGTCCGTCATAATGACGACTGTCACTTTAGCCCACCATCATCACCGTGACGCTCTTCCCCCTCGATTTCTTATACGTGTCAAATCATCATTGGCTAATTTGATTAATTACCTTTCACCTTTTTTTATCTTGGTGACGCAGTTTCCTCTTATTATTTGTTGTTCTTTTAAGTGGAGTTATTACTTGAACCCTAAGTTTGCAAATAGTGTCTACTTGTCATTGGATTCGCTTTTCTTAGAGATATTTAAGAATGATCTATCATTATCTTATTTAGGATATCCTTTAATCTGATGCAAATGACATTGACGTATACATTTTTGACTTCTAGGAGATTCGTTGTGGAGTTTGTCCCAGCTACCAATGACATTATAGTTCACATGATGAGAAACGTATCCGACTTGTAGTATGGTAAGCATTTGAGCATTCTCAAAATCCTTGCCGTTGGTCTGATGACACAGTAATGTGACTGCCAACATTTTTACTTTTTAGTGAATAACAAGTACAACTCACGGTTTGAATTTTAAAGAAAAATATAAACAAACAAACCAAGGTACGTAGTACTATTTGAAAGATATGATCAAAAACCAAAGATTGTTTGAAATATCTTGCCACACTTGAAGTAAACAAAGAACAAAGGAAAATATAAATCAGGATGTGCTCAATAATTGAAAGGAGTAAAGAGAAATTGAGAGAGAAAAATAGGGAGGAAAGAAAAGTAATCAGAGTAAATGATAAAGAATTAAAGATTATATGTCATAATATAAGGATAAAATATAGTGAGTTAGTGGAGTAGCCATATTTTGGTTGAACATGTGTGGCACTTATATACAAGATCTAAGTACTGGGTATTCTGTGTAAACTACTACGTACGGTATACATAAAATAACATTCAACCTCTCTTTTTCTCTTATTTTTCTGTTTATCCTTTTCAGCGATGGCACAACCTTTGTCTAGTAGTAAATTGTAATTATATAGTCAAAACCACCGTGATTAATTAAGTCGACGATGAAGTGAGCGGTGGCGGCGTGGCACAACTTTTGTTAAGAAAGTTGTAATTATGTGACCAAAACCACCGTTTGGGACGAAACTAATATTACATGTTGTGGTTTCGCGCCTGGAGGATTACAGGGTTCGGCCCAGAACCTCCTGGTATTCAAAAAAAAAAAAAAAAAACCTTTGCTTCATCTATAATATTGCTTTGCATAAATTTCTGATTGTGTATAATTAAACAACTAAGATGAGAAAAGAGGGCTTCAAAAGATTACCTTAAACCAGCTATCAATTTATGTTACTAAATAAGACTAATAAGACCCATATGAATTGTTCATGTAAAGGTGGGTGTAGAAACCCATATGATTATATGAAATACTTTTGATTTGAATTACCTAAAAGATCGAATTCCATAAGTTAAAAGGAAAAAAAAAAGCTATCTCTGCAACATAGAATCTAGAGAAGAAAAACAATTAAACCAAAAGCATCTATGAGAAAAAGAAAAGAAAAACAAGTATATGAAATTAAACAAAGGAAAAAAAGAAAACTGAAAATTGTTCAAAGGTCAACGTGGCACTTGGTGGGATGAAACTGAAACCCTCGTGCTGCACTAGAGGTATTCAACGGAACCTTGAGATGACACTTAAACTTGGGCTTAACGGCCCATGAGTTGAAAAACCAAAACTTAAACCTCATCTTAAATCTCAGCTTCACGCCAATCCTGTAAATCCCAGACTCCCGATCCTCCTCCAGATCTCTCCGGCCACCGGCGCCTAACAAAACCAGGCTCAGTCCGTTCAAGTACTCCGTTCCAACCACCGTCGTGTTCTTATGTCCCTGATAAAAAGACGGCATATTCACAGACGCGAAACGCTGATCACCATAATAACCCCTAGCTTCTAACTGATCATATTGAATCCCAAGACGTTGATTAGGATTACGAGCTGAGAAATCCAACGAGAGGTTGTAATGAAGGTTATTATTTAGTGGATCGAGCTCAAATCTCGTTAAATTAGCTTCCGTGACATGGAACGTCACGACCTTTGGTCGGAGGATAAACCAGAGGACTAAAGCAACGACTCCAAGGCAAACCGCTACACCGATGAGGATGTTGCAGATGATGCTTACGAGGCAACTGCCGCAGCAAAGGAGGCAGCTGGAGAAGCAACGACAGATGCTGCAACCTACATCAGCGCCGCGTCGGCCTTGACTGTAGTAGTTTTTTGCCGGAGGCTGGATTGGTGGACCGTAGCTGGCGCCGTTTAAGTAGTACGCCATGTGTTGAGAGAATGCCGCAGAGAGAATTGAAGAAGGAGATATGTTGATTGTGTTGCAAGGCAACGAATTATGAGTAGATTGTTTTACATGTACCTATATATATATATATATATATATATATAGATATGTGCAAATAATGTCTCCTGATTTTTGATATTATCCTGCGAAAACTAAAAGTTATAAAGCTTAATAGAAATAGGATTTACACTGGATTTAATCTTGGAGATTTTATGTTTGTTTTTATATTTATAAAAAATATTTTATATTTGTTGGTCATCAAACAATTCGATTGTTTAGAATGTATTGTATACGAGGCGAATAACTCGAAAAACATTGCAAAAGATTTGTCAAAAAAAAAAAAAAGATTTGTCAAATAGATTTATTTTATTTTATTTCGTACGACAAAGATTTTTTTTTCCCGTCTGTTATGTGAAAATACAAAGATGTTTTGTTTTTATTCTTGATATTCCCCTAATAAAAATATATTCAAGGTTATTTTGTTAAAAAAAAAAAACATATATTCAAGGTTATTTACAGAATTAGATCGTGAATTTTGGCTATTTGCTTAATGTATCCTGTTTTTAAAATAATGGTATCGCGTGAATAGATTAGATATCCATGGCTGTGACTCTGAGATTAACGAATCCTTTAGCGTTTTCCTGTCATCCTTTAACGTCGTCCGTACTGTTCCGAGGAAGCAAATCCATTAGTACCGAGTTAGCATCCATCAGGACGGTGAAAATGTCGGCTATTGCTGGCTCTGACCGCGAAACGACATCGTCTACCGCTAGAGTCATCGATTCTCATCTACACATCTGGGCTTCTCCTCAAGAGGTCGTGCTCTTCACACTTTGTTTATTCGAATCCGTGCTAATTTTGTTTTGCTAGTTTACATTCTCGTGAAGTCGGGTTATACATTAAGATCTCCAATTGTGGAAAATTTGGATCACTAGTTTGAGCAATTAAGCAAATGCCATTTTTGATGTAGATATTCTTTGGAACTATAATTGATTCTACTAAGATGATTATGACTGATCTTGTTGCGTAAGTGATCTGATGGATCCTTAATATGTGTTTTTTCAGGCAGAAACTTATCCTTATTTTCCAGGCCAAGAACCTACTTTGACTGGTGATGTCGATTTCTTGCTCAAGGTTTACGCTCAGCTTTGGCATTAACTCAAACTATCACGGTTTTTGCGGGAAATTTGGATTTTTTTTTGTTGTCTTTGATGCTTGTTGTGTCATTCCTCTGTTTACTGTTTTGTTGTTGATTGTCTCTTAACTTAGAACATGGAAGAGGCAAGAGTAGATGGAGCTCTCATTGTGCAACCCATCAATCACAAGTTTGATCATTCTTTAGTAACAAGGTCTCATCCTTTTCTTATACCTTAATCTGTATAATCCTAAAAACGATGTTTTCTTGTGCCGTAACTTAAGATATTCTACTTCTTTCAAAACCTTAAAGAAATTACTGGTCAAGGCTGTTTGATCATAGGATGGATTCAAGATTATATGATAAATTCAACAATGCTTCTCTCATTAGTTATGGTGTATCTATCTTACTCTCTTTTTTTCTGAGTAGATGACTATGTGATGCATTTTTGGGGCAAAAATTTGATGTTTTTGACTGGTTCTCCAATCAAGGGAGACCTTAGATTGCATGCAATGTCAGCGTTTTAATTCAAGTTTCTTTTCAAGATGATTTTAGTTTCTTATTGACAGTGTTCTGAAGAAATACCCATCAAAGTTTCTCGGCTGTTGTCTTGCAAATCCTGCAGAAGATGGCAGTGGAATTAAGCACCTTGAGAATCTCGTTCTACAGGTCTTCCCTTTGCCTGTATCTTTAAGTTTTTCAAAATATCATATATGCATCACATTTTCTCAGAGTTTTAGTCTGTTATTGTAGAGTAATTATCGTGCTGTTCGGTTTAATCCCTATTTGTGGCCATCGGGTCAGAAGGTACCAATCTAATGATTTCAATGCCTTAGATCAAGTTTCCACCGTACTCCTTTAAATGTCAATGATTTTCACAACACAGATGACAAATGATGTTGGCAAATCCTTGTTCTCTAAAGCAGGGGAGCTTGGTGTGCCTGTTGGCTTCATGTGCATGAAGGTATGGTAGTATTTGACCTTTTTGTTCTCCAAAGTTGTGTTGTTTATGCTAAGTTCTTTATTTAAATATTTTTTTTTTACTTTATTCAGGGTCTGGATCTGCACATTGCAGAAATTGAGGAACTCTGCACAGAATTTCCAAAGACAGTAGTTTTACTAGATCACGCTGGATTCTGCAAAGTACCTGAGTGAGCTGTTCTTTGCTATTCTGATGAATTTATCCTGTGCCCTGCAATACCTAAAGAACATATTGCTGATATTCATGGTTTCATCAACCTGCAGAAATGGTGAGGCAAAGCTTGCTTATACTCAACTCATGAAGCTCTCTAGATTCCCACAGGTGAAAAAGGAAAAACATTACTTTTATGAGTCCGAATTCTCATTAGCTCACATATTATACAAGTCTGAGGGAAGCATATTGAAACGAGCAGGTATATGTGAAATTCAGTGCTTTGTTCAGAATATCAAGAACCGGATTCCCATATCAGGACCTATCGCCTCTCCTTTCTCAACTTGTGTCCCATTTTGGGGCAAATCGGGTCATGTGGGGCAGGTAAACATATTTACTTACTTTGCTTTCCTGACCGAAACACCAAAAGAAAAAATCTTCTATATGAACTAACAATATGCATATATGGACTGGCTGCTTCTGTCTGCTGCAGTGACTTCCCATTTGTTGTTCTTGAATGTGGATACAAAGAAGCCAAAGAAGCTGTGACCATTATCGCAAAACAAGCATCTTTGTCAGGTTCTCAGATGGACTGGATTCTGGGAAAGACTGTGATGCAGCTCTTCCCTGGACAATGGGTTCTTCCTTGAGAGGCTTGCGAAAAGTGCAAGGTTGCATAGGATGGGATAATGAATCAAACTATGGAAGTTATATCATTAAAGCCACTTAACTCTAGCTTTTCTATCACTACACTTGATGTATACCAATTTAGTAAATCGACATATCTCTCTCATCTGTATTGAAAGCCTGAAACATGCTGGTTGATATGATAATGATACACTCTGAGATTATGGAAGGACTGGATACTGGTTGAAGTCTATGTTAGAAGTGCTCTGACCGGAAATGTCTTCCACAATGGCAGAGCTGCAAGGATCACCTTTAGCGTGTTCATTGAGGTGATGTGATAAATTTATAACTTGATCATTGGTGGCTTTACTGGGACATTTATGAAGGTTTGGATCTTTCGAGAGAGAATAAAGCTTGCATCTCAGCTGATCAAGTCTTGGTTAGCTAGTATCTTGAGCGCTTGTATTAGGTTGCCTCAAGACTTCCAGACAGATAATATGAAGGATTCTCTGTAATACCAAACCAGAAACTGGTTATGGTCTTTGGCTTGATGACCTTACTTAGATGGTTATTAAGAATCTGAGATTGTAGGGACTATCATTTGTTTTTCAAGCTCACATTGAAACTTGAACGATGGAGGTTGTGCTTGTGCACTTGCGGTGACTACTGTTTGCGTTCAAATGGTTGAAAAAACTAAGAGAAACAAGATGAATGCTTGAAAAAACTAAGAGAAACAAGAACAAGCAATTTGCAACAAAGCTGTTTCTGGGAAACCCTTTTGTCAGACAACATACAGATGCAAGTTCGATTACCACAAAATTCATGTGGTAGCATGATGAGTTTTATTCTTATTGATGATATAGCAATTAAGTGTGGCTGAGGAAGAGAGAGAACTGTGTGGGACACAGACCCTTATAACTCGTCTCTTGAAACACTCTATTTCAGGTTAGGCATGTAATGTGTAAGCCATGAGGATTGAGACATACATATCAATGCCCTTCAAGTACTCAGATCGACTCAGATACTGCAAAAAGGTGAGATGAGGTGTTAGAAATTGCTCTTGGGAGGTGATGATCCACCACATAATAAGCAAAACTGAAGGATGCTCCACGACGATGAAATGTAATATTTGCAAAGGAGACAATACCTCATTATTATCATGACGCAAACTTGGGGTGTTTGATATAGGAGAGAATCCAATTGCAGGTAAGCCTGCTTTCCGGAAAAACCAAGAATTTGTTGATGCAGGAAAGATCTCAGGCCCACTAGTCACCCCTCCAGCTTGTTTCACAGCATTTTGTAAGAGTCCCCACCATGGATTTGAATCATCTGTTGCTGTAACTAACTTCTCCCTTGCAATCCCCTCGTCGGCCCGCGATAGCTTACATAACGAGGGAACTCTTTAGATGCATGGCTTTCTTAATCTTTGACCAAAAGTAGAAAGAAAATTACCTGAAAGGACATGTTCCTGGTAGCAGGTGCCCATTCCTTCAGAATACGTCTCCTTAGTTCGTCAGAATCAGCAAAGGGTGGGAGACGAATGGCGAAACCAGCTACCGCCTGAGTTGGTTGCTGATTCATTACAAAGCCCGTTATCAAAAAAGGGCCATTCAGTCACAGAGATCAATTTTGGTCATTTAAGTGTGAAAGAAATTAAAAGAGAGAGAAGAATACCTCAGCTGGTTGAAGAGTGCCAGCGTTGAGGTAAACCATGTTGACAGAGACGACATGGCCTTCTTTCATGAAGCCAGCTTTAAGCTCATCAACCAGAGAAGCTCTGTATCTCATTATACACTCAATGCTTTTAGTGAGATTCTCCATGGCTGAGTTATCATAGAGCTTTGCGTCATGGCCAGCTTGTCCAACAGCTTGTATCTCGAGAAACCACGGCACCCTCTCTCCATTGAACACCCTGTAGCTCTCGGTTGGAGATGGTAAGCCTGATCGGATTCATCACTATTTAAAATTCGTTATGTGCTCAAAGAGATATTCGTTTTTCAACTAGAAAACTTGAAATTAGTAAGTACTGAAACATAAAAGTTATTACTTTGACCGATTTTATGATTCTGTCTGGTTTTCACCGTATTGCACATGATTATACAGCCATACTAACTAAAATTAAAGTTAACCCTACCATTAATTAACTAACGCAATTAACCTAAAATTTACGTAAACATAAATTCAGATAAATGAAAAAATATATATTGTAAATGGAAATTTGAGTCAAGGTGTCATGGCATACGTAGCAGACTCACTTATCTTGATTCTTTCTATATTTCAACTAGTTTTATTTTCCTACTTAAATAGTGTCCAACAATGTTTTGTTCTTGTTAATTCATAAATTTACTCTCTCTGAATCAAAAACATTGGGTTATTCCCTAAGTGTCTTAATTAAAAAAATATGTTGTACTACGTACCTTATATATTATTTTGACCTATTTTATCCTCATGAAACATACGTATAAAAAATTCCAAGTTTTTTTTGTAAATTCTTCATCCCCAAGCAATCTAGTAGCCAATATACAAAAAGCCATACCTACATTTCTCTAACTAGTCAGTTAAAATATTTACCTTTGTCGAGCACGACGGCGATGTTCAAGCTCATGAACTTTTCCGATTGGACGAACATGCGAACGCCATCAGTGCCACCATGCTCATGATCGGGAACAAACAAGACATAGACGGATCGAAGTGGGTTAAATCCAGAGGCTTTAAGCATGCGAATGGCTTCTAAGTACTGCATCCCAACGCTCTTCATATCCTGAGTTCCCTTTGCGTAGATTTTGCCTTCTCCGTCTATCTCTGCTCCGAGCGGAGGACGATCCCAATTGTCTTCTTCAAAGGAAACGACATCGATGTGCGAATTCAAGAGAATCGCAGGTAACGATTCATCTGATCCAGTCCATTTCAGGAGAACGATCGGTTTAGCCGCAACGAATTCGATGGATTCAGCTTGGAGACCAATTAAGTGAGCCTCGCGGAAAATGAATTGTACGGCTTCCATGTAATTAGGATTTGGCTGTACGGTGTTAATCCTAAGGTATTCCTGAAACCTGGAAACGATGATCGCTTGCTCAGCTATAGACGCCATTGATGAAAAGACCAAGTAGCAGAAGGATATATGGTCAAGATTGAAGAAGAAAGCTCCGAATGGTGAAGATTGAACAAGAAAGCTCCTCGATATCGTAACAGAAGAATGGTGAAGATTGAACAAGAATGCTTCTCGATCGTAACAGAAGAATGGTGAAGATTGAACAAGAAAGCTCCTCTCGATCGTAACAGAAGATTAGTGGTGAAGATTGAACAAGAAAGCTCCTCGATATCGTAACAGAAGAATGGTGAAGATTGAACAAGAAAGCTCCTCTCTAGCAGCTTTATTAAGTAGTAAGTTCGTAACTGTAAGTTTCATCTATTTACGATAACTGCCATCATGCACGTGCGTCCCCCCTCCACCCAAAATTCGTTATTTTTTTTTGATAAAAGTTGGTTAAAAATTCGTTATTTTTTAACTACTACAAGGTTCACTTAGATCACTACTATCATTTATAACTTGATTATATATTGGTGGATTTGCTACGACATTTATGAGGGTTTGGATCTTTTAAGGCGAATAAAGCTGGCTGATCTGAGTCTTGGTTATATATTAGCTAGTATTAATTTTGAGGGCTTGTTTTACGCACGTTGCCTCATGACTCTGTGACAGATTCTTATTGGGCCACTTCTAAGTTCTTGACAATTATATAAAGGATTCTTTGTGACACTAAACGCGCGAGAAACTGGTTTTGGCCTTTGTCTTAATGACTTTACCTAGATATGGTTATTAAGATTCTGAGATTGTGGGGGCTATGCATGTGTTTTCCAAGCTCACAAATTGAAACTTGAACGGAGGTTGTGCAAAGCTGCACCGGTGACAACTCTTAGCATTGGGATGGTTGAGAAAAACAATAATAACAAGTTTGCTGCAGCAAAGCTTACTTCTGGAAAGCCTTTTTGTCTGATTACAAATGCAAGTTTGATTACCACAAAATTCACGTGGTAGCATAAATATATAGCTGAATTTTATTCTTATTGATGATATACCACCAAGTGACTGTGTTTGTCACAGACCCTACAACGTAACTGATCATCTTTCAAAATTCTGGTTAGGCATATGATGTGTAAGCCTTGAGGATTGAGACATACATATCAATGCCCTTCAAGTACTCAGATTGACTCACATACTGCAAAAAGGTGAGATGAAAGAAAGGCGTTAGAAATTGCTCTTGAGAGGTGTGACGATCCACAAAATAATAATTAAGCAAAACTCAAGGATCTAATATCTACAAAGATGACAGTACCTCGTTGTGATCATGTAGCAAACTCGGTGTTTTTGATATAGGAGAGAAGCCAATGGCAGGCAAACCTGCTCTCCGGAAATACCGAGAATCTGTTCCTGCAGGGAAAATCTCAGGCTCACTAATCAACCCCCCAGCTTCTTTCACAGCATTTTCCAAGAGTTCCCACCATGGATTCGAATTATCTTTTGCCGTAACTAAGTGCTTCTTGGGTATACCCTGGTCAGACCGCCATAGCTGACATACAGAGAGAACTCTTTATAGATACACGGCTTCTTTCTTAAACTCTGGCTAAAGTAGTAAGAAAATTACCTCAAAGGACATGTTCCGGGCAGGAGATGCCCATTCCAACACCAAACGCCTTTCTAGTTCTTCAGAATCAACATCGGGTGGGACACGCATGTCGAAACCAGCTTCGGCCTCAGATGGTTGCAGATTCATTACAAAGCCCTTTATATATCAAAAGAGGTCCAAAAATTGTCAGGTTCAACCACAGAGACCAATGTTTGGTCACCAAGTGTGAAAAAAGAAAGAAAGAAAGAGAGAAGAATACATTATCTGGAGTAGGAGTGCCAGCTTTGAGGTAAACCATGTTGATAGAGACGACATCGCCGTCAGCCTCCAAACCAGTTTTGAGCTGATCAAACTCAGAAGCTCTGAACCTCATTATACTCTCAATGCTTTTAGTGAGATTTTCCATGGCTGAATTATCGTAGAGCTTTGAGCCATGGCCAGGTTGTCCTACAGCTTTTATCTGGATCGACCATGCATTCCTCTCTCCATTAAACACCCTGTAGCTGTCAGTTGGAGATGGTAAACCTGATCCATTCATCACCATAAACTATTTGTTATGTCTTATGTAGTCAAAATTTATTTATTTATGGTCAAAATGTGGTCAAATATATATATCTTTGTTTTGTAAAAAGAAAACGTCAAATTAGTCAAGTGAAACACAACATTTTGTTTTCTTGTTAACTAATTTAATGTGTACCTTCCCTCTGTTGAAGTTTTGCTCTTGTATTACACTAGAAGCCATATATAGCTTCAAGTACAGAGCATGGTAGAGAAAAAACAGAGAATGAAAAAGTGGAAAACTTCTCTATTATTTTCAACAACTTGTACAATAAGATAACATCCACCTTATGTAGTTTCCCTAAAGACACAAAGCAACCGTTAATGCAACTTCCTAAACTAACAACGGTTCGTAATCACGGTTAACACATACCGTTTGACTTTACAACACACTTAATAACATACATAGTTATATAAAATAACATTAGCGTAAACTCAATTATAACCAACACCCTCTAGATCATAAAATGAAGCTTTTTACATACATTTAAACTACCTAATATATATACACCCATTTATAATCATAAAAACATCCCTATATGAAGTTCAAAAATATTTGTAAATTCCTTATCCACAAGCAATCTAGCTAGTAACCAATATACGTACAACAATTAATTTTATGCAACCTATCTTCTTAAACTAGGCAGTTGTAATATATGTGTTGAGGATTAGATATTTACCTTCGTCGAGTACGATGGCAATGTTCATGTTCTTGAAGGTTTCCGATTCCACGAACTTAGCAACCCCATCAACGCCTCCAATCACTTCATCGGGAACGAACGTGACATAAACGGATCGAAGCGGCTCAAATCCAGAGGCTTTAAGCTTGCGAATGGCTTCTAAGTACTGCATCCCAACGCTCTTCATATCCTGAGTTCCTCTTGCATAGATTTTGCCTTCTTCGTCTATCTCTGCTCCCAGCGGAGGATGAGTCCACTTCTCTTCCTCAAAGGTGACGACATCGACGTGTGAATTCAAAAGAACCGCAGGTAAAGAAGGATCTGTTCCACTCCATCTCAGGAGAACGATCGGCTTTCCTGGAACGAACTCGATCGATTGAGATTCGAGAGAGATTGATTTAGCTTGGGAGATAATGAAATTTGCGGCTGCGATGTAATCAGGATCCGGCTGTACGGTGTTGATTCGAAGGTATGTCTGGAATCTGGTAATGATCTCTGTCTCGGTTGACGCAGAGAGAGCCATTGATGAAGATGAAGTAGTAAAAGTGAAGAAGCTTTCTCTCATGCACCTCTGTTTAATAAGTGTAAAAGATGGTATGAATCTCCGTTTATGTATTGGTCATATATATATATATATATATATATATATAGTGTTACATGTGATAAGATCAAATCTATTCCTAAAGATATTACATATATACAAATATATATAAAGATTTTAATCTAACAATAAGTACAGCGAGTTTGAAACCAAGTCTTTGTTCTACCATGTAAGTTCCATCTATTTACATATTTGCCATCACCAACCAACGTGCGTGTATCTCCACCCAAACCGGATCCGGTATCTCGTACGTGATCTGTGATCCTGGTAAAAGATAACGGGCGCATTGTACGAGATTGAATCTTCGTCTTATCAGTTTTCTAGCATTTTCAAATATACTAGGATCGGACCCGCGGTCCACCGCGGGAGAATATTGGTTTACATACGTTGCGTTTAATATTGTGTGTGTTTTTTAGTAGAACGAATCGTGTAGTATACTTATAAATATTCATAATAACGAATTGTAGAGAAAATGTAAAATTGTTTATAAATATACCCATCGTATTAATTATGATTTACAAAATAGAATTTTGTGTTTTAAAATTCTAAAATTAGACGATTCATGGAAATTAGAGCAGTCAAAATAGGTCAAAAAACCGCGGGTCGAGCCCACATCATCTCACTATGGGGCAGATTTGGGAAAATATATTAAACCCGCAAATAAGCGGGCCACATGGATTAATTCGCAGTGGCCCAGTGGGTCATAGGTTTAGTCGGTTTTCATCCGCGGGTTGGCGGATCAGCCCGCATATTAGTATTTATTGATAAAATTATAATTTATTCAATATATGGTAATTTAAAAAAACTTTTAATAGTATTTTGATTTATTTATTTATTTTAGTAGTATTTTAAATTTTGGTTACTTTAAAATTATTTAAACAAAATCCATGGACAATCCCGCAAATCCGCATACATTCGCGGGACGGGTTTGTATTTCATATATGCTACACGCGGGTCGTGCAGACCGACTAACTACAAGTCAAAATATTTTTTGTTTATCGCAAAACGGACTTAACGGGACGAATCAACTCGCTTTGACAGTTCTAATGGAAATATTATTTAGTCATACAACAAAATGAAGTTTGGACATAGTAATAATAGAATATGTATCTTATTTGTTAGATGAAGTATAATGATTAAAAATTAATTATTATTTTTCATGATTCACAAAATTTAATAAATACTTATCATCTTGTTGAATAATTCTAAAATCATATTCAAGAAATCTTTATAAATTGAAAATTAAACTTCTTTGGTAAGCTATAGGTATGAAAATATCGTAATTTCGATTTAATCTAATTAAATTAAAATTAGTTACATGGATTTCATATCTATTTAATTTACATGACCAAAATAAAAATATCTATTTAATTTACACGACCAAAATAAAAATATCAATTTAATTTATAAAACAGATGGGTTATTTGTGATAAATTTTCTAGAAATCTTTAGAAGCAAGTAAAATATCTTTTAATTAATGATAATTGGCTAAAATGAGCGAAATTAATGACAAAAACGTTGATTGTTATAGAATTAGTCCCAAAAATATATGAACAAATTTATTATACGTAATTAATGTATAATATTTTTTGGAATATGCTTTTATTATTAGTTACCATAAGTACAATCAGATTTTATTTGATTTTCATAAATATTTGATTTTATTTCGATTTTTCATTATTAATTCGAATTTATATTCCAAAAAAATTTCAAAGATCCGATTTCAGAATTTCGGGTCAATTTTCTGATTTTAACCCGACCCATTTTCATTTGTACTTCTCTTTTAATAGTATAGAGATGATTTATAAACGTGGTGACTCTTTTGATATAAAAATCAGAGACTACTTTTTAAACAAAGTTTCACATGGCACGATTCACAAACATGAACTTTGTTCAAACTTAATGTTATGTTGTTCACAAATCATAAAGAAATATAACATTTTAAATGTCCCATCATTAATTAATTAGCTTCTTCAACTTACTTGCACGATACTAAATAAATTGAAATAGTTAGGCATAATTTAGACTATGCTACATTGCTACATTGCTAGGGGTTGTTAATAATTTACATGTGTACGTATCCTTTAAAACCAAAATGCATAATCTTATTAGCAGCGGTAGTTTATTAATGGTATATAACTTAACATTAGATCTTACCGACTCAAGATATATGAATCCTTAATCTATTGGAGCTGATGAATGCTCAACAATTCTTACTAAACGTGTGTCGTGTGATTCGGCATACAATAAACAATAAAACTATTTCATGCCAGTTAAAGCATAATAAACACTTAAAAAATCTTCTATATATGGCTGAACCTATTTTGATTGTTACCACTTGACCAATGACCCCAGTCTGCGTGACAACACGCCTGATTATACGCTCGTGCTTCACCCATCACATTACATGCTTTTTAATAAACCATGCATGAACCAATCAATGAGTTCGTCACCATGCTTTTCAATAAACCATGAACCAACTCTTTTAATAAACCATGAACCAACTAACAGCCGATCGATGAGGGTTGACCAAAATTCTTAAATCAATGGCCGAACGTGGGAAGACACGGTTTTAATACAACCGCACGTTTTATATGTTGCCATTCAACAAAGAAATTAAATCATACACGGTTCATCATTAGAAAATTACTTATATAACAAAGAGAACAGACGAAGTCCTTAATAAAAAAGAAAACAAACAAACAAACGAAGTTGACTCGCATGAGACACACATGACGTAAACGTGCAAAAAAATGAAAAAAATTCCGCATGTGGTTTGTGAAACGCACCACTTATAGGGTTTTTAGGTGAGGTTAACTGTTATTTTTTTAGAAAAAAAAAAAACCTTCAAAATCTGAATAATAAGAATTGATTTAAGAAAATATTATTTAGCTTAGCCAAAACGTTAGAAAGATTAATTTAAGTTTGATAATTATTATAGAAAATATTATTCACATCACATTTGTTATAATTACCATTCAATTTAATTATCATTCGACTCTTGTTTTATTAATTCATACCGCATACATGAACAATTGTTGTTGTTCCCTTCATTTTGTTCAATTTTCGCTCCAGTCTTTCTTAGACACTGTCTTTAAATTATTAGTTTTGTCAATGGAACTTTGAATTTTCTTTTTACTGATTTAAATAAACTCCAATATACTCTAGCCAATCCAAATTAACAATATCTTTACCAAGATTTCGCTTTCAGAACATTCTTTGTATAATTTTTCTGCAACCATATTTAATTTTAGCTAATCGCCTTACTCGTTACTTTCTACTTCCTCTTCATCTACACTCTCTAGTCTCTATCTCTTTCTTTTGTACTTCATTTTCCACATTTTCATACTCTCCCTCTTCTTTAACTTTTTGTCGATACATTTAATGCGTTTCTAGATCATCCATCTCTGGGGTTCACGAAATTTCTCAGCTTTTCCTCTTACTAGAATCGAAGATTTGTGCTCAAGGGTTACTAAATTTGGGTTTTAGGGTTTCTTGGTCGACGTGATGAGTCACCGGCGAGATTCCGGCAGCGATGCAGTTCACGTGAGAATTGCCAACGACCCTCCGCCGGATAATTGGTTTCCCAATTCCGGCAACAATCCCGTCTGGGCCACTGAGGATGATTACAACCGCGTCTGTTCAGTGAACCCCGATGATACGGAGTCTCCGAGCAAGAAGACACGATCGTCCTCCTCCGAGATCGGGAAATCGTTCTTCAAGACGAAGCTCTGCTTCAAATTCCGCTCCGGAACTTGTCCGTACGCCGCGAACTCTTGCCACTTTGCTCACAGCTCCGAAGAGCTCCGGCGTCCACCGCCGCCGCCCAATCGGCAGGAGACGGCGGAGAGTGGAAGATTGTACAAGGAAAGACATTGCAAGAAGTTTATGAGTGGAGAAGGATGTCCTTACGGAGAAAGCTGTACGTTTCTACACGACGAGGCTTCAAGAAACAGAGAAAGCTTTGCGATTAGTTTAGGTCCTCGTGGTTATGGTGATGCTAGCAATGTTGCTCAGACTTTGAAACCTCCAAATTGGAAGACAAGGATTTGCAATAAGTGGGAGACTACTGGGTATTGTCCTTTTGGTACTAACTGCCATTTTGCTCATGGAGCTTCAGGTAAAGCTTAGACCTTTTTTCGTCTATTAGTAACTGCAATGCGCTTAAAAATGTGGCTTTTAAGCTGTGTTGCTTGATAGATTGTGAGATTAGAATGTCACTAGAGGTTAGTGAATGCTGAATCTTTGGACTGAGAGAAGAAACTGTTTGATCACAAGAACTACTCTTTAGTAGCTTGAGTCTGTTTTGTTGTACATGTAGTGGCACTGGTTTCCTTGAGGATTCTTTCAATGGACTGTGGGTGCCTTTTCGTCAGTTATCTGCCTTTTCCTTAGCTAAAAACCTCCTTAGGAAATTCTGATCAATGGTGCTTGGTGAATGGATTGGTGAAAATGTCTATAAATGGACTTAAGAGTGGATCGAGTGACATGGTTGAAATGTTTCCATGCGGGACATGGTTGAAATGTTTCCTTGTGGTTCATTGCCATTGCAGGTTGGTTAGCGTGATGTCAATCGGTTTCCGATTGGAACAAATTCTTGATCTGCTTGTTATCTTAATGGCCATGGAAATGCTGAAAGTTTCAATTATCGCTGGCTAAAAGTTTGAGTCTTTATGGTAAATTGTGCAGAGTTGCATAGATTTGGTGGAGGCCTCGTTGAAGAAGAAGGTAAGATCGGAACATCCACCACTCCGGACACAATGCAGACAGGACAAGGAGATACAGTGACTAGCCTTGTTTCTCCTGGAGTCCCGTCCCAACGGATATCTAGTGCCGTTACTCAGAAACCCAACGGTGTCAGAACTCAACGGAAATGGAAAGGACCGGATAAAATCAGTCGGGTTTATGGTGATTGGATCGACGATATTGAATAACGCCACTGCATTTTCACAGAATTGTTGACCAAGGTATAGCTTTTTAGAGTTGTAACTATGTGACAGATTTGGCTTTACCTCTCTTTTGTTCTTGTAGATTGTGACTCAACAAAGACAAAAACTCACTCATCTTTTTGTTGTTGTATAATCTTCTTCACCAATAATCCTATATCTAATCTTGTAGCTGATCAAACCGAACTAAATTATGTTTCGTACTTATAAACCGGATCATCATCGGTACCTTTTTCTTTGTTTCCATCGGTCAATATTATCTATCATTTTACACTCTTTTTTTTTTTTTTTTTCTGTTTTGACTTGTTTCGAGTTATTTTTAACATTAAGACAATTAAATTTGTTTTTTCGTTGGTCACAGAAGACTCGCTCAAAATGCTAAGCAAAGCCACTTCTGTCTCTGTGACTCGGACAGAGCCACGTCCTTCTCCTCATTTCTCTCTATTAACTTGAACAATATTCCTTCTCTCGCAAGAAATTCTTAGAACAAACTTTTCTTATTTTCCAAACAATCTACTAAACTGGTAGAATTTGGGGTTTCTCTGATCTGGAGTTATCAATCTTCAAATGTCGTCAACAACATCAATACCAACTACTGATGTTTTTCCTACCGTTTCCATGCCCATCACCATAGTTTTGATCGGCGTTCTTCTCTTTGTAATTTTCGCTGGATTCTTCTCTCTTTTCTTCTGGCGATTTCTTCTGAATCGCTTGTTTTCAGCTTGGAATCTTCAGCAAACACCTTACAGTGACCTAATCCATGTGGCCACTCCGCCTGAAAAACCCGGCCTTGATCCATTTATCATCCGGTCCTTTCCCGTGTTCCCTTATTCATCTGCAACAATGAAAAATCACGGGACGGAATGCGCTATTTGCTTGTCAGAGTTTTCAGATGAAGACACAGTTAGGCTCATAACGGTTTGTCGTCATCCCTTTCATTCAAATTGCATTGATCTTTGGTTTGAGTTACACAAGACTTGTCCTGTTTGCCGGTGTGAGCTTGATCCTGGCATGATCGGATCTGGAAGCCATGAATCTTTGCACAACGCAGTCACAATCACTATTCCGGACATAAACCATGATGAGGAAAACCCTCCTACCACAGGTTCAAGTAAAAGGCTAATGGAAGCCTCGGCTTGGCGATTCTCGAGGTCACATTCTACTGGACATTTCATGGTTAAGACTACGGATGTCAATGTGAAGTCCAAAAGAAGGCATTACCAAACAGGAAGCTGTGACTCGTTTGACGAACTTACTCGGTATGATGGAGCTGGATGGTTTGGTGATTCATCACACATTAGCAGGATTGAAGTCTAGTTTAGTGAAATTCTGTTACATCTTCATTTTTGTGTTCTTTGTAGCAGTAGCTATTTCAAAACTGTAATAAGATCTGTAGTCAGATTCTCATGCTCTCTATCGGATAACAGAGAAAATAATAAGAGTCACTCCACACCTTTTTCTTCAGAAGTGTTTTTGTCTTCTACAGTGTCTCCATCTTCAAAAGTGTTGTCTTCTACAGTGTCACCATCTTCAGAAGTGTTGTTGTCTCCTACAGTGTCACCATCTTCAGATTCACTGGCGCTTCTCAAGCTAAACTTGAGAATGATAGGTCTGCCCATTATCTCCTATAGAAAAACCAAATTGTAATGAAACACTTTACATGCTCAAGAGCTAAAGAAGCAAACTTTCTAATAGTAGCTTGGAAATTAATAATGAAAAACGAGAACTTTATACCTTCCCATCGAGTTTGGCGATTGCATCCTCAGCTTCTTCTCTAGTAGCAAATGAGACAAAGCCATAGCCGGAAGATCTTCCTTCAGGGTCAGCGAAAACAACCCGAGCCGAGACTGGGTTGAAATCAGAAGCAGTGAAAAGCTCTCGTAGATGTGTTGACCTTGCTTTCCAAGCGAGATTAGATACGTAGAGTTTGTGACGAGTGTCTCCAGGGGGAGGAGAAGGAAGATCGTTGGGTGGTTTCGGAGTAGGCTTCTTGAACCTTCTTGCAAAGTTTACGCTTATGATCCTCCCAGACACTTGCTGAAAACAAACAACATAGAAGAACATCAATGCTCAGCTAACAACTCAACACAATGTCTGCTTTACTAGTTAGAACTATCCACGCTTTGAAATTGAACAAACAAAACTCAATCAGAGAAGAATCTAAGGGATTTTGGATTAAGAACACAGTTCATAAGAGAAGAATAAGATTTGAGCTTACAGAAGTATCGAACTTATCAATAGCAGCTTGAGCTTCTTCTCCAGAAGCCATAGTTACAAAAGCAAATCCTCGGTTCTTCCCATCTTTTTGCCTTATAATCTGGGGAAATCTTTAAAACTTAGGTAAACCAATTCGTAGTAATAACCAACAAAAAGATTAAAATGAAATTGAGAAAGAAGAAAGACCTCGACATTGTTCACAGTCCCGCATTGTCCAAAGAGCTCGGAGATGTCATTCACACTCATAGACCAAGGAAGATTGAATACAAAAAGCTTCCTTTTCAGGTTTGATTTCTGGGTTTCTTCAGTCTTCTCCTCCTGCGACGTTTCTTCCTCTGCTGATGTTTCTTTCTCCGCGACGGAACATAGTACGGAGACGAGCCGCCGCGAGTTATCGCCGCCGGAACGTAGAGGGAAATTAAGAGAGAAGACGGGAGAGAGATTACTGGGAAGTCGAAGACTCAGAGCAGTAGGTTTTAAGGAAGAAGACCGTTTACAAAAGAGATAAGGATTTGAGGAAGAAGAAGAAGAAGAGAAGGAGAAAATGCAGAGAGCAGCTTCCAAAACAGCCATTGTTAGCTTTGGCACGAAGAGAAATGGATTAGACCGAAAACAAAAGGATAATTTTTTCCTGGACCGGTTTTGGTTCTTGGGATAAATCAATTGTGAACCGGAGCTACCAACTTCGGTTCCGAAGGGTAAATGGCACGAGGAATAAACCGTATATTAATTATTTTTGGTATACCAACAAATTCCAATCCCACATTTGCAGTCAAATGTAAAAACAAAAATGATGAATCTTCATGATTTTTCTCTTTGAAGTCAAAACTCGAATTCTTACAATTACAAAATGTAGTGACTAGTGAGTTTCGAATTGATTGCAAATTAAACCAAAAGTTATCCCAAGAAAAGTCCAGCCAGTCGTCTCCAATCCATTAATCCAAAATACGATGCGATATTAAACGACGTCGTTTACACACCAACCAAACCATTTCCTATTTATTTCTTACAAAACCAAAAATAAAAACTGAAAAAAATCCAAATTCGAGAAAGAAGAAGAAGAAGAGAAGAGAACCATTAAGCCATTCCTTCTTCCTTCTCACTCTGACACCGTCAATCCTCAAAACCCTAAACCTTAATTTTTCCGTATTCGTTGTGGAAGAGACTGCTTCAGTGAGTCAGAGGTGGTTTATGTGAAGTATTGCTGACAATGGCGTCTCTGGGTCTGTCTTTTCCTCCCGCCGCCAAAACGCCGACGTATCTAGCCTCTTCGTCTTCAACTTTCTTCTCTAACTCTTCTCTATCCGTCACAACCTCTCAGTATCGCTCCCGAAACTCTGTCTTCGCTTCTTTTGTAAGCAGTTTTCATGAATCTATGACCAATTCCTTATGTCACTCTCTATTCATAGAATTGCTGATTACCCATCTTGTCTATTTTGAATTTCTGAGATTTTAATTGGTGCATGAGCTACAAAGGTTGTCTCTTTCGTTAGAATCTTGTTTGTTTGTTTGTTTATGCGAATATAGCTATAAAAAGGTTGTCCCTTTCGTCAGAATACATACGTTTGATGAAATTGACACCTATATGATGAATCTCTGACTAAGTCTTCTTCTTGTTGTTGCTAGAAATGTGACATGCCGGAGTCATTGAATGTGGGAAACGGGAATCCAAGTATCCCAATTATTAATGAGAGGACACTTCCAAAGTTCTTGGAATCTGCTCGAATGGAGAAATCAGTCTGTAGAACCAGTACCAGGTTGAAGTTGTTCTCTGGTACTGCAAATCCAGCACTTGCTCAGGAAATTGCTTGGTATATGGGTTTGGAGCTTGGGAAGGTTAATATTAAGAGGTTTGCTGATGGAGAGATCTATGTTCAGCTACAAGAGAGCGTTAGGGGATGCGACGTCTATTTGGTGCAGCCTACTTGCACTCCCACTAATGAGAATCTCATGGAGCTTTTGATTATGGTAGATGCTTGCCGAAGAGCTTCAGCTAAGAAAGTAACAGCTGTTATTCCGTATTTTGGATATGCAAGAGCTGATAGGAAGGTAATTGTGTTTTTTAGCCTTATCTAGATTAGCTAATTTGACTTGATATGGAGGGTTTTCGATAACTTGAAGCTATTTGGTTAATCTCTGCTTAACTAAATTCATCTTATGTTTTCTTTTGCTGCTTGCAGACACAAGGGCGTGAATCCATTGCTGCCAAATTGGTTGCTAATTTGATCACTGAAGCCGGTGCAGATCGAGTTCTTGCATGTGATCTTCATTCTGGACAGTCCATGGGTTATTTTGACATTCCAGTCGACCATGTGTACTGCCAGGTACACCTCTAAAGCCACGTTCTTGATAGATACCCTCTTTATGTATGTGAGTATATAATACCTTTTAACCCGTTATGCGCTTAATTGTTTCAGCCGGTGATACTTGATTATCTTGCTAGCAAGTCAATTTCCTCAGAGGATTTGGTAGTGGTTTCTCCTGATGTTGGTGGAGTAGCCAGGGCACGTGCTTTTGCAAAGAAATTATCAGATGCGCCACTTGCCATTGTCGATAAAAGGCGTTCAGGACACAATGTTGCTGAGGTAGTTTATTCTTTCTTTCAAAGTCAGAGTTTTCTCACCAACACCTCTTGCTTCCCCTCAATTTCACACTGTTATACTTTCCTTTCAGGTCATGAACCTAATTGGTGATGTAAAAGGGAAGGTGGCAGTAATGGTGGATGATATGATTGATACCGCTGGTTAGTAAATCAGCATGGAGTTGGCTAAATCTTACTCTTGAACATGTTACTGACAAACCAATCTTTCAGTCTCTCTATTCCCAGTCAAGATTACTGAAAACCTGTTCTCCTTTTTCGGGCTGAGTCCTCTATGAACTATTCTTTTTCTGTTTTTATTTTCTTCAGGAACCATTGTAAAAGGAGCAGCTTTGTTACACCAGGAAGGTGCTAGGGAGGTCTATGCGTGCTGCACACATGCTGTTTTCAGGTAAACCATTAACCTACATCTTGTTCTTAAACTGTCTCAAAATCACTACTTTCTAAAGCATTTTATTTTTGTTTTGGTTTGGTTTCGAATAAATCAATGGAAGCCCGCCAGCGATAGAGCGATTATCAGGGGGTTTGCTTCAAGAAGTGATAGTGACAAACACATTACCAGTAGCAGAAAAGAATTACTTCCCGCAGTTAACAATATTATCGGTGGCTAATCTTCTGGGTGAGACCATTTGGCGTGTCCATGATGATAGTTCCGTCAGTAGCATTTTCCTTTGACATCTCTCATTGCAACCAACCATTTGAACGATTCTTGGTTTTGTTAGACGGGTGAAGGGTCGGTTTAGAAAGTTTATCTACCCCGGTTTATGTTCTAACCGGCAAGCTTCACCAAATTTGCTTTTGCTTTGTCTTTTGATAGCTTAGGTTTTTCTTATTTGTTCCACATTTCAGTTATATGGATCCACTAATGGTCTTGAACCGATTTTTGATTATAGTATACACAAGTTTCTAAAAGTTCAATATATCTTGTATTTTAACAAGGTGCAAATTGATAATGGGTTTCGTAATCAGACAAATCTACGCATTATATTGTACAGTCCAAGGCCAACCCAAAAAAAAAAAAAAGGCCCAAAAGAATTAAGTTGAGTCAAATTAGGGCTTCTTCTATTTGTCTAGTGTCAACTAGTATATATACAAGACTCACATCGAAATTATAAGACAAGCCTCTATAGTTTCGTGTTCCGCCTCAATTATTCTGTTAGGTTTTTTTTCTTCTTTGTTCATTGAAATTTGATTTAATAGAAGAGCTGTGAGGAAAAAATCGTGTGCCAGAGATGGTTAATTCATCGTTGACGGTATAACACAACCCTCTAAGAAGTTCTGAGCTTTTCTATATCTTTTTATTCTTGCTCAATTTGTTTTCGGATTTTGAGAAAAAAATCTGTTTTTTAGATTATTGAAGGATTTAGAGTCGAGGTGACGATAGAAATTCACAGGTCTGTCAATCCACTGATATATGTGATGTAATTGTGTTCTCGACAGGTTCTGATCGACTCTGAAATTAAATCCTTAAAGCTTGTTTTCAATTTTGATTGTTTCGTTTTTATCTTTAATAATTCGTTCCTTTTGGATCTGAGTATAGGATGAATCTCATATATTGATGTTATTTGTGACTGAAATTACATTGATGTTTTATTCACCTTGGAGAACTGATACTCAGATTTATGAACAATTCGAATTTCTTGTTGATTTTAAGAATTTGGTTTTTGATTCTCTTATTGTTTTACTGGGCAGATGATGAAATTATATTTCATGGGTAATTTGCGTCTGATTCTATGTGATGCTAACTTCAATGATTATCTGATGCCCAGACCCTTTGAAATTGTTATTTCGCAAGTCTTTAGACCCTCACTTCAAAGATAAGATTAATTTGACATTGCACTTGCTTGAAACAGAAAGCATTTCCAACATACAGACCAATTTCATAATTAATTTCAGAATTTACGTGGAGAAAAATAATGGAATCCCAGTAATTATTCTTGGTGGATGTTTAATGATTTGTAATGATTGATGTTATTGTATTTAGACATTGACAAATCTACAATTTTCCCTAATTTCACCTTCAATGCCTGTAAGAACATTAATATTCCCCATTTTCAACATAGACTCTACAAAATCTGCAAAGAAGAGATTTTGATCAACTGCATATTCCCAAACTTTCCGAAAGATCTCTCCTTCATGATCTTCCGAGACCAGAACGTTATCCGAAATCAACAACCCTTTCCCCTCTAACAGGTTGATGTAGTAATGGTTATCAAAGTAAGCTGGTGTCTTTAAATCCAGTGGAGACAGTTCATTGTCGCGGCTTGAATCTTTGCATTGTGACCGTAGCACTCGGCGGAATGTGCTGTGTCTCTTGAACTCATCTACGTAGAACGTTTGTTCAATGTTTGGCTGGACAATGCGTTGCTTGAAGCTCAAGCATCTCGCTTTACCTATTGTATGAGCGCCTGAAAGAGCGATGAGATCTTGAATGTCGAGGCCTTGTTGCTTGAAATTGATGATGAGGCTGTCGAGGGAGGAGTTTGGTGCTGGAATGAATTGGTTTGCGCCTGCGAAGCTTGCCTTTAATGAGTCTCTTCTCCCAAGCAATACTTCCCACCATGGTCCACCTCTCTGATGATAATACCAAACAATATTTGTGTTTTAAGGAAATTGACCCCATAGGTTTCGATTTAAGGAGAAAAGGGGAATTTACCAGGAAGACAGAGTCACGAGCGGCCATGGCGAGAATATCAGAACAGGAGACGGTTAGAGGACAAGCATCTTCGAGGAGGTACTTAATGTAATCGATTACTTCAAATCCACGCAAAGAGTTCACATTAGGAGTTGCTTGTTTCTCACTCAACATATCTTCATGTGTGTCCAAGAGCACAGACGCATCACAACCCTAAACCCACAATTAATCCCGCATTTGAACATCAAATCGACGCACTAAGACAATCCCACTCTCATACACCAAAATTCAAATACTATTCAAGAAGTATGCTAGATTTAGAGCCTCAAAACTACTTGAAAAATTTATGATCTCGGAGAGAACAGAAGCAAAAACTCGCAAATGAGGAAATAAAAAGAGTAGAGAGGGATGATTTGCTAACCAAGACGAAGCAATCGTGGAACTGAAGACGGAGAAGAGAAGCAGCCATACGAGGATCTTTGAGAACAGCAACCTCAACGTTATGCCTCACGATTTCCCCTGCCAATGGGCAACTCTCTTTGTAGAAATCCTTCAGTAATGGACCTCCAAAGTCCCCCAAAACCGATGTCGTGATTGCATAAAGCACAATTAAAGAAAGCCAAAGCTTCTTCTGGTTGATCTCCATTGGACAGTTATGTCATGTGTTTCTGTTCATCTCTATCTGTGTTTGTGTGCATATGAATATATATATATATATATATATATATATATGTGTGTGTGTGCTTCGTGATTCAATGTTCCTTGTATGTTATCATATGTCGTTATGTATGTTTTCATGCCCAATTTTTACTACAATGGATGTTACAGTTTTGTCAACGGTAGATACAACCAAATTGACAAATAGGGACATAACTTACTTGCCTTACGAGCTTGAGTACGTGATATAATGGAGCAGATTGTTATATTTGGATGGCCAATTTCTTTTCTTATGACTAGTCATTTATTTTAAAGTAAAGTATAACTTATACTTATATCTTTAAGGTTACCAAATTTTTATTAATACTTTTTCTTTTCCGGATCGCCATCTTTTATTGGACTGGCTTTGCGGAGATGTTAGATGCATTTTGAGGATAACAAGAAGTTATATGATGGAAAAAATCTCAATTTGTTTGTTAGATCTCTGTTTCATCTTCTTGAACTCTTATTTTGTGATGTTGGTCACAGAGTGTATGCAAATTTAGGAAATAAGCATGAGAATTGATAGATTTTGGAACATAAAGGACAGAGAGAAACCCTCTTAGTGAGCGGCGTCTTCCTCCTCGCAGAACTTGGTGTACTCCTTTGGACCCATCAAAGATTCCAACTCCGCGGGGCTACTCGGTTTCACTTTGATCATCCAGCCATCTTCATAGGGGCTTGAGTTAATCTACACAACACACAATTGCCAAATATCATTGCTTATATGTTGTCACATGAGAGGTAACTTACTTAATTTCCTTAAGACTTTAAAACCGTACCAAGCCAGGTGATTCTGTGAGCTTCTTGTTAACCTCAATGATTTCACCTGAGATCGGTGATAAGATCTCACTTGTGGCCTTCACACTCTCCACTGCTCCAAAGCTTTTCTCTTTGGTCGCTGAAGTATTTTCCTCTGGCAGTTCCACAAACACCACTTCACCTAAATGGTCCTGCAACATCAATGTCATGTCTCCTCCCCTTTCAGCCAATAATCTTACAAATCTATCATCATCTTTATAACCATTCTCCGAAGAGACATCTATTTAGTTTCTGAGCTATTTCCACACTTAGATTACAAAAATAAGAACCTGAGAGAGCATTTGTTACCTGAGCATGGGCAGTGATGCCAATGGTGGCAACAGAGCCTTCATGTTTAACCCACTCGTGTGAATTTGCATACTTCAATCCCTCCAACACTAAAAAAAAGAAACAAGAGAGACACTCATCAACAGTTTCAGAAAAAAGTGATGTAACACACAACAACCACAATTACAAACACCTGTGGAGAAGCATCTAGAGATGGAGAAAGGAGAGAGATGAGACTTGGAAACAGAAGAAGAAAGCTTGAGAGCGTTTGCTGTAGAAGAAGCCCACATTCTTAGTGCCATTTTTGCTTTCTCTTCCTTGTTGTTCTGTGTTTTGTCTTCTCCAAATAAAGAGGAGATCTCAAAGATATTCTCTTTGTTTGCTTTATTTGTGTGTGTGTTCTATCTTTTGATATGTAAGGCAGAAATTGAAGACCTCATCCTATGCCTATGGTCTGTATGAAAAGTGTAACCCAAACCTTCTTTTTGACAGAGAAGCTCTTGCAATTACTTTTTTTTTGGGTTCCTTTTATTGCTTTTCCAAGGGACAAAGTAATGGCTCTTAGTAACATATATTTGATTAATTCCTAATTCCTATATATCTTTTCATGTATTGGAGATGGACTCTGAAATGTGATTTAGGGTGTTGAATGTGGCTTTTGGAAATCGAATTTACTGTCATTTGTTTGTCCTTTCACCCAAAATAGAACAGCAGATTGTGCACATGATGGAGCGCTGGACCATAATCTCTCTAATGGGCAATGTCATCAAAGTTTTGGAGCTTTTATCCTCTCTGAAGCTTTTGGGGTTAAAGTAGAATTTAAAATATATGTAGGGACAAATATGAAATATTGAAAACTCAAGTCGACTCTCCGTCATCGGAGAAGGAGCGAGTGAGCAAACAAACTCTGTATTTCAAATCCCCAAATTCGAAACCCTAATCCACAATTTCTCCTTAATTGCACCGGATTTGTGGTGGGATGGTGAATTCAATCGAAAAGGTGAGGTCTGATTCGACCAACAATGGCACCGTCGAGATCACGTACAAAACCATCGGCCCAGCTCGACCGTCTCAAATTCGAGTGGCGTCTCATGTCAAAGTAAAGACTTTTCTTCTTCTTTATCTCTTTCAAGTGAATTCTGTGTACGAAGAGAATGATTGATCCTTGGCTGATTTTAGGTTCGTGATCTGAGAAATGCAATTGCGGAAAAGGGTAAATTTCCTGTCTCAAATTTGAGGATGATTCTTCGTGGAAAGGCATTGCAAGACGAAGAAGACGGAGATGATTTATACGTTACGCTCAAGGACCAAGGTAACAGATTCTGCTGAAAATGTTATAAGCATCACTGCTCTGCTTATCTGTGTTTCTTGAATGTGTCTTATATTATGGACTAGTCTTGGTTTTATTGTTTAGATTCCTTGATCGTTGCTGTAATACCAAATCCACCAGCTGGAGCTGAGACCTTTGATGATGATGATGATGATGATGATTTGGTAATATTATCGATGTTTGATCTGATGATGTTTTTAACTCGTAAAGATTGGTTTTTAGTTTCTGTCCTTCTAAAATCTCTTTTGGTTATTTTGGCATTGCAGAAGTTTAAGCTCCCACCGTCAGCAAGCCGGTGGAAGAGGAAGTTCTACTACTTTCTGCGTAACAAGTTGAAGCTTCCAGGTGAGAACTCTTTAATCTTTAGCACGCATCCTCTGCAATTTCCAAGAACTTATGAAACAATAGTTTATTGATTTGTGTTGTGTGATATATATCTTCTAGATATCATTCTTATGGGACTTTTCTCTTTAAGTCTAAAGATGTGGGTTATTATCATCCTGTGGTTTATCTTGGCGCCTATTGCACATCGGTGGGACCTGGGCCCTATATTTGTAAGTCATCTTCATCTTCAATGTCTGGATTCCTGAAAATGTCTCATGTTTTCGCAATGCCATTGGATATGCTTTCATGAGACATCTTGTGTACATAGATATCTTGTTTACTTCCTTTGATGGGGTTCTTCGTTATTACGAGTTTCAGATACTAGGGACTGGCTTTTCAATCATCTTGCTCAATCTTGGTAAACGTCAGCCTGGTGATGTCAGGTATATACATTTCTAAAAAATACTTTAGCCTCCGTTTATCAGACTGACATTAGCAACTCACTGGATTAGGATTGTGATTGTACACGACTCTGGTTGATGTTTGCTGCAATCCTGATACCATATTCAAAAAATAAAGAAGAGGAAAGTCTTGGTTATTGGGAGAAATAAATACACTCATCTAAAACGTTAACATCCTTGGTAATTTGAAAAATGTGGACAAAAAGGTCTTAGGATTCTGGAAGCATAAGATTCTGCTAGTATTCTTATTAGCTGTAAAGTGGTATCCTCATGAGTATTATTGAGTTTTAAGCCATGAAATAAGTACGGTCGTTTTTCATGCTTTCTTTGGCAGCGCATATTCCATATTCAACGAGGATTTTAGAGAACTCCCGGGTACATATAATGCAGAACGTATAGACCGGGACATACGAGCAGGCCAGATATAATGCAGAATTTCATCATCAAAACCATTGCTTGGTAGAATTCACACAACAGAAGAAAAAATACTCATCGGTTATACCCAATGAGCAACCAAAGGATCAGTTTTTTGTCCTGTCTGATTTAGACGACACAACACAAAGCATGACAGTACTTGAAACCAAAATTCCTATTGATGTACATGATCTAGTCTTTTAGATTCCATGATCAATGGTCCGTGTTGTACTCGAATATTGAGATTCCCTTATATATAAAATAAATAAAATGTATGATATTATAAGTTTTGTCATAGTATTATTATTATGGGTGTGAAAATGCGTTCTGGGTCAACTTAGGTCCCATCAAAACTTGATTGAGCCTTATTAGGTGTGAATAAAATTCAGTAACCAAATCTGCTTTCCTAGTGGTTAAGTGGGTGGCTTACGCTTTTTACGTTTGACAATTCCCTGCCTTCAAAAATATAAATTCAAGAAAAATGAAATTATTTCCAAAGTCTATGAAGTATGAAATTAAGATTAATATTAAAATAGCATTAAAAAGGTATGTATGCCCTTTAACTTACAAATATACACAATCTATAATACGCGTTTCTGATTAAATTCAAATCACTTTTGCTTTTTACAGATTTGGTAAAGAAAAAATAGTACCTAGAAAGTAAGCTATTTTCGTGGTACAGATTATAGTATTTAAAATTGTATTTTCCTGAATAATAAACATTTGTATTTTTTTTTTTTTTTTTTTAAACATTTGTATTTCATAAAGGGTTATCTTGGCTATGACTTATGGATTGTAATTTGTGAGTAGTTGGGAGTGGCTTTGCCAATTCTTGACGGCACGTAACGTTTTAAGGAAATGTCAAACTTCTCGGTTATCTACAAGATAATGTATATAATAAAATTGTCATATTTTTGGGTATAATTTGAAAGGTAAGTGTGATAAAATGTTTTCCTATCGCATGAGAGACAAAACAATAATTCAGTAATTTTCCAATGAAATATGTACATGTCCAAAGATATAGGACAACATTAGCAAAAACATGATCAAATTACTTTAATTTAGATTCTGATGTATATATAGATAAGTTTGAATATGTGTAACCTAAATCGAAAACAAAAGCCTGAAATCTTACTTGATGAACAAAAAAGAAGAAGTATAAAAGTGATAAGAGACATAAAATAATAATTTAAGGCAAAGGGGGACAAGACAAGAAGTCTTAGCGGGATAGGGAATCCGACAAGTATGACGTCGTTTCAGCGAAGGAGTCTACGAGGTAGGTCCCAGTTGTCAAAACCTCGTTGACTATTTTTTATTTGATCTTCCCCTCTCGTGGACCCTACGTTGCTTAATCTTAGGAGGGTTATTGGTTGATGGATTTATATGGAATTAGAAATCCAAACAAAAATTATTGATTTTAAAATCCTAATTAAATTCATGTGTTATTAGTTCTATGATTTATAAATACTAGTTAAAATCATATGTTATTCGTTTAGTCATTTGTTTTTGGATTTGAGAATCCAAATTATGTTTTAAATGGAATTGAATGGAATTGAAAGAGAAAAATAGAAGGATTCAAATCCATAGGTAAACACATGTTATTTCAAAATCCATATGTTGTCAAAACCTCGTTGACTATTTTTTATTTGATCTTCCCCTCTCGTGGACCCTACGTTGCCTAATCTTAGTTAAGTCACTATTGTTACGACTAATTTTCATCTAATTAAAAAACAGTTATCATTTAGAGAAATCAGAGACCGTGACCTTTCCATAATCATAAACTGGCATGATTACACGGAACTCTTTTATTCGTGAGCAAACATCTATTTTGCGATTTTATAACATTGTTAAGTCGTCGCGGCCGTAAACGATTATATAAAACTTATTTGGTTTTTTCTTTGTCAATCTATTTTGAAAGCATATTAATTGATTGTTCCAGTCAGAATGGAAATAGTTACAAAGTTAATCTTAGCCAAACAAATTCTAAATCTATGATGGTTTAAACTAAAATTCTTTTAATAAAATAGAGAAAACAGGTTATTACGTCACTATTTGGATCATCTGAACTAGGTCATCCAAATAATTTAAAATAATTTGTTTTAAAATCAAGTCATCCAAATCACGGTTAATTTCCAATTCCAAATATAGTGGTGAGACCGCGTGAGAGGTTCCGATCCTTTTACATTTTGTTGTAATTAACTCTCACCAAAAACAACACCTAGACAGTTCCCAAATTTTTTTTTTTTTTTTGACAGTTCCCAATTTGAACGATTGTGAAACTGGTTGAACTCTTTGTCATCATATAAGAGAAGCAACATAGTTTGAGTCCAAAGGTTTCAACTATAAGAGAAGCAACATAGTTTGAGTCCAAAGGTTTCAACTTTAAAAACCAAAGCAAAAGTTTTGAGACGAGTGTGTAACTTCCAAGTGAGCAGTAGTAAATCTTTTAGAGTGACTTAATTATTGGTATCTTGCAGGATATTCTAGTAATACGCTTTCTAGTTAGTTTATTCGTGTTTCATATACGAGGTTCAGAGCATAAGCAAATAAATCTACCGTTTAGTGTATTACCTTTTTTAGTTATGCATGGAGCATCCAAGGAAATTTGGAAACATTGGAACGCTTCTGATTTTATAGATGATAAAACAACAGTTGTGCAGATATTTTAGTAAAAAAAAATTTTTATAATTTTTTTCCTTTTTACTGTGTTATTGACTCTCTAATATTGTGGAATGATTACAATATGTGGTATTGGTTGGCATGACGATGTAATAAAATCTCTCAAATTACAAAAAAAAAATAAATAAATAAATAGAAAATATAAATTATTGTAGTTTGAAGTGAATTTGTAAAAAATTTGCATTATATTTAGCAAACGAGAAACAACGGTAAAAACTAATACGTTTTTGAATATTATATTCAGAGAAAGACAAAGTGAAATGAATATATAATGACTTCCAGTTGTATAATTATGCGTGCTACTATTAAATAAATGACAAGGCTTAGGATTCTATTATGTCCAATTCCAAATACCAAGATTTTACAAACCAGATTAGTATATCCTAAATGCCAAAAATACAATTGGTATTAGAAAAGAAAATTGTGAAAGAGTTATTTTTTTCTTAAAGATTTGCCAAATGAATAAATGAATTTGGATTGTGATATGGAATAGCTTTTTTTTTTTTTTTCTTTTTAACGTAATTTAAATTAACAACATGTCATGTCTTAAATGTGATTTTATAAAAATCAACCGAGATTATGACCTACGATCTAGATTTAGCTATAAAAATATCATAAAATATATCAATATCTAAGTTTAAGAAATTTCAGTTTATCTCTAAAAATATTATTTATACTTTTGTTTATCTTAATTAGTAAATTAGGTTTAGTTTTTTCTATCTATATAAACGAATGTAACTTTCACAATTATTTTTATGAGAAAGAATCAACTATAATTATTCATAACACATTTGTGTTCTTACTCTCCCTCTCATCGATTTATCAAATTTTAAATAAAAATGATGAGATATAAAACAATATATTTAGCGACATAAAACCAAATTTGGATGCAAAACAACAATATGTAACGTATGTCGGTTGACACAAAAAAAATGAATTGTGTTTGAAAATTGCCATAAAGTATGTGTACTTATATGTGTTACAGTATATCTTAAAGTAACGGTTGTAAATATAATATTTATAATTTTATTAGGTGTAAATGTATTTGGACTATGATATTATTGGTCTCTTTTTTTGTTCTTTTTCTTTTTCTCTAAGAAACATAATTTTTATTAATAACATGTCATGTCTTAAACGTGGTTTGTTAATAAAAGTGATGAGATATACAATGATATATTTAACGATATAAAACCAAAATTTGGATGCTAAACAACAATATGTAACGTATGCGGACTGACACAAAAATGTGAATTACGTTTGACAATTGCCATAAAAAGTATGTGCTATATCTTAAAGTAACGGTTGTAAATACAATATTTACAATTTTATTAGTTGTAAACGTATTTGGACTATGATATTATCGATCTCTTCTCTCTTTTTTTCTGAAGAAACATAATTTTTTATTAACAACATGTCATGTCTTAACGTGATTTGTTCATTAATAAAAGTGAGGAGATATACAATGATATATCAACGACGTAAAACCGAAATTTGGATGCTAAACAACAAAATGTAACGTATGCGGACTGACACAAAAAAGTGAATTACATTTGACAATTACCATAAAAGTATGTGATATCTTAAAGTAACGGTTGTAAATACAATATTTACAATTTTATTAGTTGTAAATGTATTTGGACTGTGATATTATCGATCTCTTCTTTTTTCTTTTTCTTTTTCTTCTAAGAAACGTAATTTTTATCAACAACATGTCATGTCTTAAACATGATTTGTTAATAAAAGTGACGAGATATACAATGGTATATTTAACGACATAAAACCAAAATTTGGATGCTAAAAACAATGTAACATATACGGACTGACAAAAAAAATGAATTTCGTTTGATAATTGTCGTAAAAGTATGTGTTGTATCTTAAAGTAACGGTTATAAGTACAATATTTACAATTTTATTAGTTGTAAAAGTATTTGGTCTGTGATATGGATCAGTCTTTTTTTTCATTTTTTTTTTCTTTTCTAAGTAACGTAACTTTTATTAACAACATATATTCATGTCTTCAACGTGATTTGTTTATCAAATGACAAATATACAATGATAAATTCAACGATGTACAACCAAAACATCGATGCAAAAACAATGAATGTAACGTATGCTAACTGACATAAAAAAAGAACTGCGTTTGAAAATTGCCATAAAAGTATGTGTACTCATATGTGTTATACCTTAAAATAACGATTGTAAATAATAGCATTAATTTTGGTGAATTTATTTGTGAGAATTGCCCTCATTGAAATTGGCTTAGTTTTTTTAGAACACATCATTATAGTGGAAATAATTTCGTGTATTGAAAATAATATTTTCATAAATATGACAAAAGTTGATGGAATATATTGTAACGTGAGGGATTTACCAAAATACTTAGCGTATGGGTAAATTACATGATCAAAAACGTAAAACATTCGTGTATTGAAGATTGCTGTATATAAAATTATAATGTTCAAATTTTCATATTGTTAATATGATAATTATTTTAAATAATTCTATTGTATTTAATTAGTTTGTTAGTGGTTATTTTGTTTCATAACTTTTTATTATTTTGGCTATTTATCTTGTAATTTTATGCAAGATGAAAAATAAACACGAAGGATATAAATGTCCATTTCTCATGTCCCAGAGCCCGATGAGCGCGAACAAAGCAAATGACAAAAAGCTTCGTTAATACAAGAATCCTTTAAACCCGAGCCTCGATTTCTCCATTTTGACCCTCCCCTTTGCTTTTCCTTTTTTTTTCTCTATGACCAAAAAAAAAAGTGATGAATAATTTTTCGAAAAGAGATTCTTTTCTTCAGATTAATTTTTAGTTCTATAATAAAATAAAATAAAATCTGTATTCTATTGATCCAAGTAATTATTAGTTCAAAACTTTATTAACGCGATGTCTCGTGGTGTAAAAAAGTTAATAATGTGAACACATCGAGTTTATTATAAATTTCTAATTATAGCAAGTTGATTACTAAAGTCAAAAATAATTCCTAAGCTCGACTTTATGATTTTATACAATAAAGAGTCTAGAAGTAACTGTGATCGACAGAAAACGAGCACTATTGTATATTTGTATAGTTTACTGTAATATCACTGATTATATGCGAACAAGTTGATTTTTTTAAAATCTCCCTCTTTTTCTCTCGTTTAAAATATATATATATATATATATATATATTTCAGATTAGATCACAAAGATTAATTATTTAATGAAAATATAAAAAATTATATTCAATGAATATTGAAAACACAATATAATTTTACAAAACATTAAACTGAAACTAAATTTGATATAAAATTCTTTTGAAAAATTGAAACACAAGAAACCTCTAAGAATTTTTATAAAATATAACGGAAGGAAATATTACTTTTTATTTTGTCACATACTTCATATAATAATAATTGGCTTAGTTTAAAAAGGGGTTAAGCATATTACAAGGGTAATTTGTAATTAAGAGAGAATGTTGATGGTATTTACGTAATCGAGCAAAGAAAAAGCCAAGGAAAAAAAAAAGGTTTAAAAAAAGAGTCAATGTTTCTGCTAATTCAAAACCACTAAAGTCGTCTCAGCTTAAAAAGAAAACATATTTAAATCCCAAAGAAAGACGACAAAAGTCTCTCTCGCTCTCTCTCTTTTTCTCTCTTTCAATTTTTTTTTTCTTTTCACCTCCCAAATTCAAAATCGCCGAGAAATTTTTTGTTTTTTCTTAGAAAGATTTTCTCCGGCAATCTGCAAAAAAAAAAAGGAGTGTTAGAAAATCAAATGTGATGGGAAGTGGATTCTCCTCCGTCTTACCTTGCTTCAATCAAGGTCACCGTAACCGCCGTCGTCACTCATCGGCGGCGAATCCGACTCATTCCGATCCGATTGAGTCTCTCTGTGAGCCGTTGGATGAGACTTTAGGCCATTCTTACTGTTACGTTCCTTCTTCTAATCGCTTCATTTCTCCGTTTCCTTCCGATCGATTCGTTTCTCCTTCTGGTTCTTTCCGGTTATCTCCTCCGCATGAACCGGGTCGGATCCGAGGTTCCGGATCATCCGAGCAGCTTCACACCGGGTTTAGAGCGATTTCTGGTGCTTCTGTTAGCGCCAACACTTCGAATTCCAAAACTGTCCTCCAGCTAGAAGATATTTACGACGATGCCACTGAGAGCAGCTTCGGCGGCGGCGTTCGGAGCAGTGTTGTCAATGCCAATGGCTTTGAAGGAACCTCGTCGTTTAGTGCTCTCCCGCTTCAGCCTGGTCCGGATCGGTCGGGTCTCTTCATGTCGGGTCCAATCGAAAGAGGAGCCACTTCAGGTCCCTTAGACCCGTCGGCCGGAGCGATTTCGAGATCTAATTCCGCCGGCGTGCATTTCTCGGCGCCGCTCGGTGGTGTATACTCGAAGAAGAGACGGAAAAAGAAGAAGAAGAGCCTTTCATGGCACCCGATTTTCGGTGGGGAAAAGAAGCAACGGCCATGGGTTCTTCCGGTGTCGAATTTCGTCGTCGGTGCTAAGAAGGAGAACATTGTGAGACCCGACGTCGAAGCCATGGCAGCATCTTCCGGAGAGAACGATTTACAGTGGGCATTGGGGAAGGCAGGAGAGGACAGAGTGCAATTAGCTGTTTTTGAGAAGCAAGGATGGCTTTTCGCTGGAATCTACGACGGTTTCAACGGACCCGACGCGCCGGAGTTTTTGATGGCTAATCTCTACCGTGCTGTTCACAGTGAGTTACAAGGTTTGTTCTGGGAATTGGATGAAGAAGATGATAATTCAACAGTTCCTAATGAGTTAGAGCAACGAGGTAAAGTTGAGGCTCAAGTCGACGAAATGGCAAGTTCGAGCTGTCCAGCAACAGACAAGGAAGAAGACGAGATGGGAAAGAGATTGACCTCTTCTTCATTAGAGGTGGTGGAAGTCAAGGAGAGGAAACGGCTATGGGAGCTTCTTGCAGAGGCTCAAGCAGAGGATGCGTTAGATCTATCAGGTTCTGATAGGTTTGCATTCTCAGTGGATGATGCTATCAGTGCAGGCAATGCCGCGTCTGTGGGAAGTAAAAGATGGTTGCTCTTGTCAAAATTGAAGCAGGGTTTATCTAAACAAGGAATTTCTGGGAGGAAGTTGTTCCCATGGAAGTCTGGTGTGGAGGAGAATGAAAATGAGGAGGTAGATAATGTTGGAGTAGAAGAACGGGTTGATAAGAGGAGGAAGAGACGAAAGGCGGGTACGGTTGATCATGAGTTGGTTCTAAAGGCAATGTCAAATGGTCTTGAAGCCACAGAGCAAGCATTCCTAGAAATGACTGATAAGGTTCTTGACACCAATCCCGAGCTTGCATTGATGGGTTCGTGCTTACTGGTTGCACTGATGAGAGATGATGATGTGTATATAATGAACATAGGGGATAGTAGGGCTCTTGTTGCACAATATCAGGTTGAAGAAACGGGTGCGAGTGTGGAGACATCAGAAAAAGTAGAAGAAAGACGCAATGATGTAGACAGAGACGTTGAAAACAAAGAGCCTTTGGTTGTGGATGGTAGCGATAGTACAGTGAACAACGAAACTCCTCTGCCGCAAACGAAACTGGTTGCTCTGCAGCTAACAACAGATCACAGCACGAGCATCGAGGATGTAAGTTTGACCTTGCGAAACTCTCTCCTTTATCTTTTTTGCAGTTGCTTGATCTCTGGTTATCTAGGAATATACAGTGTAATCTGTTAAGTAGTTTTGGAGTGCTCTTGACGAGATTATTGCTTCTGCATGACCCCATCTTATCCGCATTTGTAAGATACTTAGGATCAGTTCAGGCTCCTTTTGCTAATGTTTGGTTAGATCATATTTGCTTCTCGCAATGTTCTTGTTAGATGATAATTTCCATTGATGAACTCAGGAAGTAACAAGAATAAAAAACGAGCACCCAGATGACAACCATTGCATAGTGAATGACAGGGTGAAAGGACGGCTTAAGGTGACCAGAGCGTTTGGAGCGGGATTCTTAAAGCAGGTTAGGCAATAATAATATCTTCACCTGATAATCGAAATATCCATTATTCCGTAATTCTCATAAAGAAAGTGAATTTGCAGCCAAAATTGAACGATGCTTTGCTGGAAATGTTTAGAAACGAATACATTGGTACGGATCCATACATATCATGCACACCTTCCCTTCGTCACTACCGGCTAACAGAGAATGATCAGTTTATGGTTCTCTCATCTGATGGATTGTACCAATACTTGAGCAATGGGGAAGTTGTTGCTCTTGCCATGGAGAAGTTTCCAGATGGAGATCCTGCTCAACATGTTATACAGGAACTTTTAGTCCGTGCAGCCAAGAAAGCTGGTAGATAAAACTTCGTTTTTTTAATACACAACTGAATATCTGTGCGATATGGTTTGGAGATTGATTGTTTTAAAAACAGGAATGGATTTTCATGAACTTCTCGATATCCCGCAAGGAGATAGAAGAAAGTATCACGACGATTGCACTGTATTAGTGATAGCACTTGGAGGAAGCAGGATCTGGAAGTCATCAGGAAAGTACCTTTGAGGCCAAAAAGCACAATTTGAAGACAACAGATAAAAACTCTCCTTATAGATTAGCCTCTTTTGACTTAATGCAGCAAATCAAGAGGGTGCCAAGTTTTCTTGCTTTTAATTTTCCTTTTCTCATGTTTCTGTAGGAATTTTGGGTCAGATTAGGTGGGGGGTTTTATATTTTGTTTCTTTGTTGAATAGGGCAGGGATTGGAATAGAGGTGAAACCAAAAAAAAAAAAAAAAAAAAAAGAAGGATATGTAATTTGGGGGTGGGGACAAAAGGGTAATACATAGAACATTTTCCTCCTGGGGAAAAAAAAAATCTTATAAATATTCTTTTCTTTTGTGGCTTTCTTTTTCACCGACTGTTCTTCTTTTATATCAAGTTGAACTTGGTTCCAAAAGTTTCTTAATTCATAATCAGGGGAAAAACTTCAGTTACTGGTTTGTGAATTGATATATTTATTCATACAGGAAAATAAATATATTAAGGGAAAATAAGACTACACTTTCCAAATTGGAATAATATATTATTAATATTCATTTTTTTCTTTTTTTTCTTACTTTCATTCTTCCATTTATCTGCGTACCTTTCGATAAGCATATATAGCTAGGAGTACTTGAAGGCAATTCTAATGTTCAAAAAAATGTACTCATCCTTGGTCCAAAAACACAGATCCATTTTCACCTCCAAGCGTCAGTCTTGTTCTTCTCCTCTAATCTTCAGTTATTAAGGATCTTTTCCAGCTTCGAGTACTGTTTTCTTTTACTCTGAAATTGTTTTAGATTCTCTCTTAAGCGGAACTAAAGAAGTGTTTTAATTAGAGAGTGTACATGTTTGGTTTAGTGTAGTTTGATTATTATAGCTAATAGCTAGATGGTTAAGTTTACTTGTGAATAATGAGAAAATATCTTCAACAAATTTTTCTCGATTGATCTTAATCTCTTTAGTCTGTAATATGGTATCAGAGCCATCAAAGCTCGATTTCTCTTGATTTTGCTTTGATTCCATCTTCTCTGACATTCAATCTCGTTTAGATTTACTTGATTTTAGCTTTGATGGTGTTGATTGCAAAGATTCCTCGCCGCTCTAGTTTGTTATAGTTTTCTAAAGTTCAGATTTTTGTTTTTTAAAGCTCAGATTTTTATAGAGTATAGACAAACGTAAGGTGTTTTTTTAAAAATTTTGAGAGAACATATTTCATGTTATGAATTTGTTTACATGTATGATGAATAAATCTATGGATTGGAAACACATGCCTGATAAATTTTATTTTATTCATTTAGTAATAAGATCCAGTTTTGTGAATCTAGCATGTAAGTTAAGATTGGTTTATGGGCAACAGGTTCTGTTCAATTATTATGACACACTTTGTGATTTCTAGTGTGATTTTCCTGCGATATACTTGTGATTTTCCTGAAACTTTTACATACATGTGATTTTCATTTGGTTTTCTTGTGACATACTTTTGATTTTCCTGAAACTTTTACTTTGTGTTTCTTCATTCTTCAAATAAATGAGAATGCTCGGGAAAGATCTTTCCGAACGAGGACAACAAAGGCTTTCCATTTTACTCATACCACTAACTCAATCAATGCGATTCATTTTTTTAGTGATGACCGCCATGGGTACACAAATGCCAGTGGTTTGCCTCAACGGTATGAAATTAATTTTTCTTCTTTTTCTTTTTTGTAATGGTTTTTAATTGAGTTTTGAACTTATGCGTTTTTTTTTTTTTCAAGACTGGTCGTGTCGTGAGAAGGTATATCAAAGACAACAAGGTAGCAACTATTGATGATATGGCTCAAATTGCTCTTGCGTCACAGTTTGTGGATGGGATAACAAACTCTTTGAATACATCCATGGGTCTCTTCGCTAATGAGTCTCCCTTGAAAGCCCACATTTTTATTCTTTTAGTCATATTGAAGTTAATCCATGTCAAAATGAGTCACTAAAAAGGAATCACAATTTTACCGTTATCCGAGATAGCAAATGATGTTGTCATCGTTGTAGACTTGAAACGCACATTATATTACACGGCGTCTTACGTCATTCGGATTTTAAAACTAAATGAACCCGACAAACTAAAAAATATACTCATCTTTAGTCCAAAAACACAGATCCATTTTCACCTCCAAGCGTCAGTCTTGTTCTTCTCCTCTACTCTTCAGTTTTCAAAGTTCTTTTCCAGCTTCGAGTACTGTATTCTTTTACTTTGAAATTTTTTTAGATCTCTCTTGAACGGAACTAAAGAAGTGTTTTTATTAGAGAGCGTACCTATTTGGTTTAGTGTAGTTTGATTATTATAGCTAATATCTAGATGGTTAAATTTTTTTTTTTTTTTTTTTTGAATACTAGGAGGTTCTACGCTAAAATCTATAGGTTCTAAGCCCACAAAAATCCACAAAACATTCAATGTAATGATAATAATATCATTAGCGTAGATTGTTATATCCTTCATCTCATATTCTGTGGAGAAAACTACATAAGAAGCCTGATTGTTGGTTGAAAAAGGAAGTATAGAGATTTCTGAAACCCAAATATCTTGAACCGAACTGAAGGGTTTCAGCAAAGGTGTTTGGGCCTCAAAGAGTTAAAAAATTGGATTTGGGCCAAATTTAAAAGAAAATAAAAGGCAAAAAGGAAGTGACATTTACATAACGTGCTACATAGTGAGAAATTATGTAAAGTAGACACTTTTTTAACAAATAATTTGCAAAGTAGGTAGTTTTTTTTAGAAATTAGAAGAATATACATTTTTCTCTTTCCTCTCTAATACAACTTTCTCTCTAATAGAGATTTTAGTAAATGACTTATATATCTTTTGTTGTTTTGTTATGTAGCAAGATAAAGACAAAACTATTATTTTTTCTCTTTCTTCTTTTAACTTAAACTTAAATACTTTTATTTTGTTTTGTTTTGTTAAAAATTCTTCATAAAAAATTATTACATAAACATATTAATCTTTAAAATTTTTAAGTGAATCTAAAAATTTCAATTTTGCTATATTTTACATTTTTTTAATTTAATCTCAATCCGTCGGTGTACACAATAGTAAAAAATGGTGTACAAATTGTAGTGTACGGTGATAATATAAAAACTAATGTATATTAGTAATGTAAAAGTGGTATACAATATGTAAACAGTATACAAGGTGATATACAAACGACAATTGATAGAGGTGTACACGTACATAATACGATGGTGTACGGAGATGATATAAAATATGGTGTACATAAAATGATGAGATAGTATGTCGCACCATATACCATCTCGTGTGTAGTCTACAATATCGTACACCCACCTATTTTGTACTTGTACACCACATACAAAGAAAGAACTATTTTTGTCAAATGATAATGTATAAAACAATATTTACACAATAGTTTACGAGATTGGTGTACAGAGGAGTGTACAAATGTTAGTGTACACTACGTAGAAATGTACAAACATTATTTCAATTTAATGGTATACACCATCATATTCATTGGTGTACATGATGGTGTACACTATTATATTTAGTATAACCTTTGGTTTATATTACAATCGTGTTTGTATTAATATTATAAACAATAATTACTTCAATTTACAAATATAAGACAAATCGATGTACTTAATGACTTGGTGTACAAGTTAGTGTACAAAACTATGTTTAAAATGCTGGTGTACGAAATTGATAGCAGAATATATACAAGTCATCTTTTTTTTTTAAGATTCTTTTTAAAAAAAGAAAACCAAAAAGATTAAGAAAAAAAAAAGTAATGATATAATATAATTTGATCCAATAATATAAAAGATTTGAACCCACACAAAAAGCTAACTCACAAAAGACAAGGGGTAAAATGGTATTTGACTTCTTTCTTGTCTTTTAGTCTATTACACACCACTTCTATTTCACAAAAGAAATAAAAAGTATCTATTTCACAAATTTCTAAAAAAACTACCTATTTTTCAAATTATTTTTATAAAAGTGTGTACTTTGCTAAAAAGCCCACATTGGGGGTAGAGATAGGGTTAAGATTGAAGATGAAGGGAAAAGATATCATGAAGAAGACGACGAGAGTGCCATGCAATTCCTGCGAATTCTCCAGCAGCAGGTAGATCTCATGTTCCTGGAATCGGAATCCGAGAACATGATCACGGATGATTTTAGAGTAAACTCTCCTAATTGGGATTAGTTATTGCGGGGCTTGCTTGAAACAGAGATCATGTAAATTTGAGCCAATAGTATCATCCACTTTAATCTTAAGACCGTCTTTAACCTTTTTCCAGATACGGATTTGAACAAAGTCTACAGGATCAAGACAATGAAGAAACAGTGGTATGTATGTATATCTCACTTCCTTGGCAACAATTTTTCTCATCATCATATGAATTTCTATGTATATGCTTGCCTCTATGTTCTTGCTTGCAGCTGCGGAAAGAAGTCATGAGATTACGATCCCTGATCAGGAGGATGACTGGTAGAGACGACGATGCGAGCTTCACTGAGCTGCAAGCACTTACAAGTCATCTCGGGAATGTCAAACGCATTGTCATGGACCAAATAGTGAGGAAACTTCTTCATTCAGGGACTTCCTTCTCCTATTATTGAAAAAATTTTGTTTGACTATTATTCCAGAATAAGATAATGCCACCAGACCAAGTTGAAAGCAAACAGGTAAAGTTTTTTAACTCATAAAATTAGCTAGTTCAGTTAGGTTTACCCTTTCCAGTCTACCTACCATGATTTTGCAGAAGAAGAATAAAGCTGAGGATGTTGCTACGAGTATTCCGGTTCCCTCTACTAGCAGGTAAAACGAAAAAATAGAGGGTTTTCTTTTGTTGAATTAGTGCTTGTGTAAATCAGATATGAAACTTCGACTTGTAAACCAAAATCAGGTTTTATGAGAGATCACTTTTTTGCTCTACCTGTCTTGCTGCAGTTGCTTTTTTTTTTTTTGTATCACTATACCAATTTGAACTTTCTCTTGTGTATATAACCCTGAACAAAGACGGGAGAAACACTGGTGCGTGAATTTATACTCTCTTCTGCTCCTCTCCTTCTTCTTGCCTCAGATTCTGTTATTAATTCTTGCAGCTGAAAATGGAGAGGGAATTCGAGAGACGAAAATCTGAATCCTTGCAGAGGAGTTCGAGAGATTAAGGATTTACAACGAGTAATAAGCATAATTCTTGTTCTTATTCCTTCTAACAGTCTATGCTTTTTCATTTGGGTTAATTTTTTTTTGTCACCATCACAGGAGAATGAACGGTAGAGGTATTGAGAGTATGAGCTGCTACCATGACGTGGTCCAGCTTGATTCTCAGATAACTTACGCTTTGATGAGTTTATCGGAGCAAATGAGAAGACCACTAGAGGAACAACTTTGCAAGGCAGAGCAGGGCAAGCATGTAGTGAAGATTTATGGTAAGCCTATTACTGATGAGAACAAGGAACTGAGGAGATCTGTTCGTTTGGCCAAGAAAAAGGAATGAGGAGAAAGTCTCTCACTAAGTGGCTTGGGAGCTTCTATCTTGACATAGAGTCTTCTATTTGCTTATTATGGAGTTGATGTCGTTTTTATGTTAACATTAGACCAACTTTAGGTTTGAGTATCTTTATGACATTAATATCAAATCTCTCATTTCTCGCCTCTTTAAATAAATGTCATGGATGTGTGTAGAATCTAGATCATCGATTCGTTGTCTGAGAGCACCTTTTGGCGAATTATTCCCACCGCCTTTTTAGTTTGTAAAATTTAATAATTATTAGCTTTGGATGTTTGTGTCTCTTTTCTATAATTTGTTTCATGCGCTGAACAAATGAATTTCCTTGCATTTTTCTGCATTGTTTTGAAATAAAAAAAACTTGGAAAGCAATCACATAACGAATTTGGGCAATTGATATTTTTGAAATAGTTAATTGAGTTTTAGATTTTGTTTTTGTTTAGTTTCTTTAGTATACTGTATATATACAAAACAATTGATGTGATATTGTATTTAACATTTTAGTAAAGAAAACTTAAATGGTACCATTAAAATTTTAGTTTTATCTAAATGCAATGTTTTTGTTGTAATTTATATTTAAATATATAAATTTAGATTAAGTACCATTTAAATGGTATTTAATCTAATCTTCTTTGTTTGTTTGGTTGGAACGCCTCTTGGTTACAAAGAATGTCAGTTTCACAGGGTCATCAAGGATTTTATGATTCAAAGTGGTAAAGGTCGGTCAGTACCCTTTACTTGTTGTTTTGAACAAGTGATTAGTTTTGTTGGTTCTTAACTGGCACTGGCTTTTATATATCTTCTGTGTGTTCTTGGTTCTTTAATGTATTTCTTCTTTTCTTGTCTTCTCACTGGATACCTATTATGTTAGATCTCTGTAGAATGATGGTAGTGGATGCGTGTCAGTTTATGGAGGATGAAAATTTTACTGAGCCAGGATTGCTCTCCATGAAAATTTTATTGAATCAGTTCCCCTCGAGCTTTTTGTTGTTCATGAGCCAAACTTTATATTTGATGCACTACTCACGACTTTGATCACTAATATTATTGCTCTCATTCTTTTGTGGTAGGCAAAACACAAATGGGTGCCAGGTAATTTCAGTTTCATCATAATAGCCTTATTTGTTTGTGAAATGAGACAGATTAAATTGAAACAAATATGTAGATAATGCAAACATTGAGCGTTGGATGCCTTGTGTTTTGACCATAATGCTAAACTATTATATAAATCTTTAAAGAGTTTAGAAAACGTAAGATAATTTAGTTGCTGGTTGGGCATAAAATCTTATAATTTAAGCTAATTACCTTTGCTTTATGCATTGCAGTTATCACATGTGCAAAATGCACAACAAGTTTGTCTTTGGGGTATGTCCTCTCTTCACATACACATTAAGCTTTTAAATTTTCTTCCATTCTTAGTTCTCCCTTTGTGGTTATAAGTTATAACTGGGATCGTCTAACATGAAAAAACTTAAAAGCCATATAGAGTTGAGGAAGAGCCATCAAGTCATGAACCCTTGTGCGCATAATCTGTAATAGTGTTGTTTGACTCATTGCAAATTCTTCTTTTGATATACAGAGAGTGCTTGGGGAAGATTTATTGGTGATGCAAAAGATTGAGAATGTGGCTACCAAACCCAATAACCGGCCTAAGCTTACGGAGTGCAGGGCGGTGTGAAATGTTTTAACCCTCACCCAAAAGGCCAAAACACTCCTTAAAGAACTTTTCTGCTTAAGGGGGAATGTAGTGAAAGCATATTAGTGCCGAACTAAAAAAACTATGATAGAAGCTATGATTTGTATTTTAGCAAAAACAATTTGTTAGATTTTCTTTCTATTTGGTGTTTAAGTAAAAAACCTTTCCTGAAAGAAACCAAATTTTGTTTGGTGTTAAAGCTACAATAGCAAATCAGTGGTTCACTTTCCTGTAGCAAAGCCTTTTGTTGTCAGTTTCATCAAGGATTTTATGATTCATAGTGGTGATTTTCTAAAGGTCGGTACCCTTTACATCTAAAATAATCCTCACAAGTAATTAGTTCTGTTGGTTCTCAACTGGCTCTGGGCTTTTTTTCTCTTGTTTGTGTTCTTTCTGTATCTCTTCTTTTCTTCTCTTCTTACTGGATACCTAATATGTTAAATATTCTCTGCAGAATGATGGTAGTGGACAAGTTTGAGGATGAAAATTTTACTGCCAAACATACTGGGCCAGGATTGCTCTCCACGGTATGGAATTGGCTTTATGAATCTGAGTTATAAATTTGTTTAACTTCTTTCAGTGCAGTGGATATATTGAAACAGTTCCCATTGTTTTTTTCTTTATTCATGAGGTAAATTTTGTATTACTCATGACTTTGATCACTAATGTTATATGGCTCTCAATCTAATTTTGTTGTAGGCAAACAGTGGGCCAAACACAAATGGGTGTTTGGTCTCATTATAATGGCCTTATTTACTTGTTGATGGTATTTTTGGTTTCATGCTAGTATATGATATCTCGCTTTCTGGAAGTAGGTACCAGAGCTGCTTGAGGGAAATTCGACAAAGTAAAGGGTGTCAAGATGGCGAGGAAAGATTGGGAGAAACTGCATCTACATATTGCTTCTCATAACAACTTCCATACTGCATCTTCAGCTGCTGGTTGTGCTTGCTTAGGTTCTGTGATTTCTCTCTCCGTTTTCTTTGTCACATGGTTTACGTAGACGTTGTTCTCTTTCAAGGATGACACATGTTGCTGCTACAAATCAGGAAAATCACCATGTACACTTTAACGGATAAAATATCTCTGCAATACTGTTTTCCTTGCAGATTTAATACCTTCTCTGAGCATGTGCTGGACCTGGGCATTTGGGTATCCGTTCGGGTTCGGTTCTTTTTTTTGGGTATCGGATCTATTCGGATAGGGGGTCGAGACCCATTCGGGTATTCTAAAAATTCGGTTCTGGTTTGGTTCGGGTTCGGGTCGGTTCGGGTGTTTTAATAAAAAAGCAAAATACCCGAAAATAACCAAAAATACCCAAAAAATTTTTGGGTTCGGGTCGGGTTCGGATTTTTTACTCGTATATACCCAAATCTAACCGAAATACCCGATTTCTCAAAAATACATTGGTTACTCTTTGCCCAAATATAACCAGAAATGTCTAAAAATACTAAAATTACCCAAAAGAAAACTAAATTATTAGTTACTTTTTAACCAAATATATTCAAATGTATCCGAATTACTCAAAAATACCTAGTATATTCGGATTTATGATTGTAATTTTAGGTATTTCGGATATTATAAGTATAAATATAACTAATATATTTAGGTGTATATTTGTATTCGGGTACCTACGGGTATTGGATTCGGTTCGGGTTCGGTTCAGGTAGGAGGTCTAGGATCCATTCGGGTATTTTTAAAAATCGGTTCGGATTCGGTTCGGATATTTTTCGGGATTTTCGGTTCCGGTTATTTTGCCCAGGCCTATGCTGCACTCTTCCTCACCACATTCTCCACGAGTGATACTACTAGTCAGTGGCAATGATTCGTTCTGAATAGTACTACATCTCTTTGCACAAGGGGTTCTCGGCGTCCTGCTCATTGTTCTGCAAGAATGTTTTACTAGTTTTGCCTCCAGGTAAAAACGTTGACTTGTGGTGCTATTGTTCACTTCACTTTGTATTCAAGAAGCCAAATCCCAATGCGGATTTTCGAACTTTCTACGGTTAGGCTATGTCCATTATGATTGTATTTTAACAGAAACCATTTGTCAGATTTTTCCATTTCATGCCGGACTTAATAATTTGATAAGACATGGAAAGCAAGAAGAGAAGAAGGAAGTAGATAAGTCAACGGAGCATTGACTTTGTGATGAGCCAGATTAATTTTTACTTGTGTGTAATTGACATTATACGGTTCAGAGTTAAACTATCCATAGATGAAAAGATTATAACAAAATCCGACATAATCAAACTAAAGAGACAGACTTGAGTCCGAAACTAGACAAGGGAGACGAAAATAACAAAAAAATGAAGTCAAACTAAAAATGGATTAATCAGAGGGGAGAAAAAGACATCATTCGAATCAATCCCTGCCACATTTGAGTTTGCAGTAGACACAGCTCGGAGAAAGTCATATCGCCCAGCCCTCTACAACTCATTCTCCTGTGAGCGAGCAACCAAAGTGAAAAGTTTTATTACTCCTTCCACAGCCATAATCTCTCCAACTCGCTCTGCGGGGATTCAGCTCGTTGCCTCTCGTATGCTACCTGCAGTCGCGACTGTGCATCATCCTGTTTCTCTCTAGAGCTTGTCATCATAGCTTCAACATCCCCTCCCTCCCTCTTGTTTTTGAGCAGGTGAGGCCGCTTTGACATATCCTCTTCCACAATGACTTGCCGCTTTGACATCTCCTCTTCCACAACGAGCGTGGATTCCTCCAGATGGGTTTTCAGTTTTTTAAACTCAGCGAAACTCAGACCTTCTAAATCCTTACCACTCATTCTCCTGGGAGGGGATCAGAGCTAACATGATGAGAAGCAGTGGAAAGAAACAACAACAAGTGAATGAATGAGCCGTAACATCTTGAGCTCGCTCTCCATAGACTAGGTAGGGTAAGAACAATTATGTGAGATAAATATAAAAAGGTTCCCGACTTAAAAAGAGTAGAGGATATATACAAACCAGTGAATCATCATCATCATCATGTCCTTGTTTGTGTTCGTGTCTGGAAATAGATCGAACAAGTCAGGTTTTAGGTTAAACTGTTGGTTTGATCTTTACAAGCAGAGGACTGGAGGAGAATCATGCTTAGAACCTAGAGGATAATCTATTTAGTCAGATTCTGAGATCTAACTGCCCTGTAAATAGCTAACCCTAGAAAACAGAGGAACCCTAGATTGTGAGATCTACCTCTTGCTGCCGCAGAAATCGCAGAGCACCACTCCCACCTTCTTCGTCCGATCGCTTCGACTCCCCTTCACCTTCTTCTTTAACAAAACCGGTTTCATCTTGTGGAAGAAAAGGCTGAGAGAGACGGCGATTGCGACGAGCAAGAGAAAATTTTCTTTAAGAGCAAGAGAAGAAAGAAAAGAAAAAAAAGTGCGGTTATTACAAATCACAACGTCTTCTTTTAATTTTAAACTTTTGAATTACTTTTTAAATTTATTTATATTTAAGGGAAATAAAAATAAAAGAAATATTAGCAAATAGCCAAATTCTACACAAAAATTAAGAAACTAACGATGTGTCAGTTTTATTTAGATACTAACTCTTTTTCTTGTGGGATAGAGGTATGATAAATACGAATTTATCCTTGTAAGTTATAGTAATTACAAGAACTTTGTCGATGGATATAAAAAAATAAGACAGTTTCGTGAAATTTTTCAAAATAGCATGTAACATTTAAATTTCGCATGTTATATTTAACTAAAAGACATGATATTTTAAAAAACATAGTGAATTTTTAAGAAAAAAACATTGTTACGTAGTGTTATTTTAAGAAAAAACATTGACATGGAAAATTTAATCTGAATAGTAACTTTTTAAAAGAAATCACATGTAATCTTAAAAAAAATCGTGTAATACTAAAAAATAATCATCTTTTTAAAAAAGAAATCACATGTGATCTTAATAAAACATGTGTTTTATTACAAAATAACATGATAAAGACAGATATTCACATGTGATCTTAATAAAACACGTGTATTATTACAAAATAACATGATAAAGACAGATATTACACTGAATATAATGTTTTTTTCGAAAAATACTATGTGTTCTTTATAAATAACATGTAGTACGAGAAAAATACATGATAAAAAGAGATATATTATGTTATCACATGTAATTCGAAAAAAAAGCGTGTTACAAAGGACATATACGTAATTACACAGCCATTCTGACATGTTACAGACAGGGTACTGTAACTCAGAATTTTTGTCACTAATGCCACTTTCTCAAGAATTTTAATCGTTTATGCCACTCCTATTTTTTATTATATTTTTTATTTTTCTTTTAATATAAAATCTGTAGTAAATGTCAAAAAACCCTTACCCTAATTCAGTATTTACGTACCCTGCCATTGCCAACCTAACAACATAATTATTTTCTCTTCTTCTTCTCTTCCACTTTCACGCTTCTCTCCTCCTTCTCCTTCATCTCTTTCTCCTTCATCTCCTTCTTTTTCTTCTTCTTCTTCTTCTAGATTTTTCGAAATCTTTCACTTTTCTCCTCCTTCATCTCTTTCTTCTTCTTCTTCTTCTTCTTCTTCTAGATTTTTCGAAATCTATCTCTTCTTCCTCTTCTAACCATCAACAAAACTCTAAATCTCTTTTTCTCCATGGATCTTTCTTTCCTCTCTTCGATCTTCTCATTCTAGATCCATAGATCTTCGTTTTTCTCACAGATCTGAGATTAACAATAATCCCGATCTAGATTTCTCCAAATCGGCTTAGAATCGGTGGTGGAGGAGAATCGGTGGTGGAGGAGAATTGGTGGCGGAAGAGAATCGGCGGCGGTGGACAATGAACAAAGCAAGAAGAGACGATGATGGCGCTAGGGTTTATAATTATGTATCAGTTGTACCAGTTGTCTAGTTGTCCCTATTTATGTATCAGTGTCTAGTTGTCCCTATTTATGTATCAGTTGTACCAGTTGTCTAGTTGTCCCTATTCATATGTTAGTTGTACTAGTTGTTTCAATTGTACTATTATATTTCAGTTGTACCATTTGTACCAATTGTTCATATTTATATATAGATGTACCAGTTGTACTATTATATTTCAGTTGTACCATTTGCACCAGTTATCATACAATCTCTCATTTGTACCAGTTGTATTATTATTTCTTAGTTGTACCAAGTTGTACCAAGTTGTACTATTCCGTACCAATTCGCCCTAATTTCATTAAGGGTAATTTGGGGATATCACATTTATGGTGGCACTCAGATTATAAGGTGGCACGCCAGATTGATTTTTCCCACATAGTGGCATAGGTGACTCGGACTCTGTAACTGTAACTCATAGTTAATTTGTGAATTCTTTTTGAATTGAAGGTTAGTTTCTATAAATTCTCTAAAAATAAATATACTATACAGTAAGTCTCGTATCTATACTATTGAATGGGAAATATTTTGGAGTAAAAAAATATTTTAGTTGGACATTATTACATGAAATGCCCACTTACATCAGTTACTTAAAATGAAAAGAGAGGGTATGTTGGTAATTTGCTGGTGTAAAAACATGCGGATCATGGGATGACCCGGTCTGATTCCGTTCGGATCGTGTTTTGTTTATGGTTTGATGTATATACAAATTGGTTGTTTACTTGTTTTTATTTGGAATTTGATCAATTAGGTGTTATTATGTGAAATTTAGAAGGTCAAAGTATTTTTGTTTGTTTTATATATATATATATATAGCCGGCTCTAAGCACAGGCTATTGAAGCATGTGCTTGCGGCCCGCTAGTCTATATTCGGCCATGTGCTTGCGGCCCGCTAGTCTATATATATTTTATCGGCCTCAAATTATCAAAATATCTCATTAGTCTAGCGGTAAAGCCTTCCGAAAGTATACTCAAGGTAATGAGTTCGATTCTTTTCATTATCATTTATATTTTTCTTTTACTCAAAAAAAAAAAACAGCCCTAAAGTCCTTTTGGGCTTGTGGCCCTCATAATCTCTGTGCCGGCTCTATATATATATATATATATCATTTCATCAGTATCAACCATTTAAAGATTCCTCGATTTTTTTTTTTTTTTTGGTACAAGGTTAAATCTTATACCATTTTCTGATTTTTCACCATATAACCTTGTTCCATGGTACCAAAGGAGAGTGAGTTCGTAGCTGCTCCCAAGTTTCTTTGGAAGAGAAGAATTCAGCAAAAGTTCCTGACAAACGACGCCATAGATAAATATCATACCCATTTGAGATAGTCGAAGGGTTGATGGTTGTGACTTGTGAGTGTGATCATTAGCTGTTGTTGCGCCTCTGACCGAGCACCCGGTAACCACCAACCTCCATTCCTTGCTGCCTCAACAACAAGAGCTTCTCTCCTTACTCGTAAATCCCTCGGCCCATTCACACCAATGTAGCTTATTAAGGGACCATGCACATTCCAATGGTCAAACCAGAAAGAAGCGTGTAGACCATTTCGCACCTGACAACGCAAAAAGTTAATAACAACAGGCTTCAAACGATTCATAGTTTGTAAGGTCCTGCAGAGCCTTTGGGAATCCTCGAGAGTCCAGTAACTTTTCCTCAAGAAAATGTTCCCATTTATCCAAGCAACCCATAAGGTACCCGCATTTGTGAACAAGTTCCAGATTAGTTTAAGCTGATTCCTCGAGTTTGTTTAGGTTTTATGTTTTCAGTGACTGAGAATTAGACTAAACGTAAAATAAGCAACAAATAGTAATTATGTAATATGTAACTTATTAAGAGGAAAAACTTCAGTTACTGGTTTGTGAACTGATATTTTTTATTCATACAGGAAAATAAATATCTTAAGTGAAAATAAGACTATTTGCTTTTAGAAAACTAGATAAGCACATATTGCTAGGAGTTCTTGAATATGCAATTCTAATATTGTTCTAAGTCACATAAATCTCAGTTGAGTTTTGTAGAAAAATCTCAAAATCATCATCTAGTTTTGTTTACTTGTGTGTTTGTAATTTTGTATACCGTTTGCAGGAAGCATGTTGTTTAACTTATCTAGAGCCGGACAGCATGTTGTTTTCTAACCAACTGAAAACGGCATGCTGTTTTAACTCACACCAGGATCCAACTGTTAATTCAAATATCTAAGTTAATTAGAGAGGGTTATATGCAAATCAACAATTTAGCAAAAAAAATCATCATTCTCACATCATCCTTTGATCAAAGTTGCTACACCACAGCTCGGCCACTGGTTTTGGGCATTTTCTTGGATGTAGCTACAAGAAACATAGGCAGTGAGATGATTAGTCTTAGAGATTAAAGATCGATTAGATGATTTAAAGAACCAAGAAATGATTAGATGAATAGAAAGCACAGTATTACCATCTTCAACGTCCTTGAGCTGATAAAAGTGTGGAGCTATCTCAATCAACCACTCGGGTTTTAACTCTGTTACCTGCATTTTCCAAGGTAAAGGAACAAAACCCGATGAATGAATCAACCCAAAGAAGGCTTTGGTTCAGAAGATCGAAATGTGGTTTACAAAGTTAAAATACAGAATTTTACCTGTCGCATGTATTCCTTAGAGGTAAGGACTAGTTGATGATATACAACCCATCTCGGCAGTACCTAACAATATTATCGGAGAAGGATTCATCAGAAGATTTCTCGATTTTTAGTTATATGTTTTCAATGAGTGAGAATTAAACTAAACCTGAGATAAGCCAGAGGCTGGATGTATGTGAACGGTTTGGGGATGCTTCACTGTTCGATATGATCCATTCTTCTGTAGCTTGGCAGTGTGTGGAAAGAAACCTGAGCATAAGTATACAACTTCTTTAGCAACAACAAATATAGCTTTTTATGAACTGAAGACTAAGAAATTTACC